TACCACACGGGATACATCCCCGGCCTTAGAGTCCCATTATGCTCACGGTGAGCGTGAACGTGCATACCCAAGCCGATACAGCCCAGTGCTCAGTCCTGACTATGCTCATGAAAGTCGATATGCTCGACGCAATGGCCTTGACGAGCGCCGGGCATTTGGTGGAGGAGCATACCGTGACAGTGGGTACCCTCAAGGTAGAGCTCATAACCAGGATTCTAGATGGACGGACAATGTCCGTAATGTTGCATCTTCATCTTTGGACTACATTCGTCACGACACTGTCCCACGAGCATTTACTCGAGACCCCACCAACCCTCCGCATCCTCCTTCATCATAATCAACTTTTGATATGCCTGTGCTTTTGTCGTTTGTTGGGTTGCTATTTTGGTTCATCTTCTCATGCTTACTTCGTCTTTTTACGGTGATAACTTACTATGGTGGTTTGCTCATCCTACACTTGACCTGTCCCTTTCGTACCCTAGTACTTATGTAGCTATCCATGCAGTTTTAACGATTTCCTCTTGTTTCGACAATGTCAGTATAGCAGCTCCAATGCCCGCTCTTGTTTGCTTCACAACATGTTCGAAACCGCCATGAAACTTAAAGATAACGATACTGCGATGTGATATGTTTTATTAAAATGTGACATTCATAACATAAATACAACGCAAAAAGGAAGAAAAAAAACATAACATACAATAAAGGGCGGGGAAAAACATAACATATTGTCGTATGTGCGAGAAGCACAAGGGGCTCCAAATCATGTTGACTCGGATAAGCGGCGAGACTCTCAATGATGTGATGAAAACATAACATAAGTATGAGTGACAAACATAGGGAATATAAAAGGCGAGGGGACAGCATAAGGTATGATGTATCGTCGGAGGAGCATAAGAGGCTCCAAATCATGTTGACTCGGATAAGCGGCGAGACTCTCAATGACGTGATGAAAACATAACATAAGTATGAGTGACAAACATAGGGAATATAAAAGGCGAGGGGACAGCGTAAGGTATGATGTATCGTCAGAGGAGCACAAGAGGCTCCAAATCATGTTGATACACGGCGAGACTCTCGATGACGTAGTGGAGGTTCAGCACCGTGATCTGCAATAATCGGAGCCAACCCTCCAATGAGGCCCACGAGGGTACACTTATTACTCTTAAGGAATTGGGGGAGACCCTCCAGGGAGAGGGATGTCTCAGAGACGTGTTGTGTCATACAGGAAAACTGGGTCTGACAGACCGTGAGAAGCACTAGAAAGTGCTGCCAAGGGTGGTATTTTCAAGTAAGGCATGAGAAAAGGTGGAAAGATGAACGATACCACTCACCGGCGGCCAAAACCAAAAGTGAAAAACTTGAGATCAGTGATCACCGCGCACACGACCTGCATCGTCGCGCGATGCGCAAAGCCTGTAGTGAAAGGTGGTCGTCCATTATCACATCATCACAACTGAAATAAGACGTACCTCCAATAGCAGCCACTGTGACACTAATCCCATCAGCTACCCCTGACAGGTCTCCACCTGAGACCCTCGAGGATGAACACGGTAACTTGCGGCATAGCTTGAGCTCGAACGAAGACCGACAGACTCACGAACTGCGAACGGTGGGCAACGACTTGTATCAGCATGGCTGTTGCTCGAACGAGGATCGACACACTCACGACCTGCGAACGGTGGCCAACGTCTTGGATCAGCACGGCTCTTGTTCGAACGAGGAACGGTGGCCTGGTCCGCCAACGATTTGGATCAGAATGGTTCGAGCTCGAAAATCTTGACATACTCACTTCCTGCGAACAATAAGCAACGACTTTGATCAGCATGGCTCATAACATTCCCAAGTAGTACTTACCTATATTAATCATTAGCAAGAGTTCAAAGTGTTTGGAATTCATATAGCGACATAAGATACCTAGTGTTTGAACATGTTGTGACGGTGCAGTACTGTGTCACAGCGCGTCACGACTGCGGCAGGCGCGACAGAGGACCGCGTCAATTTCACCCGGCTCAAACCTGCGCGGGTTGCAGACACATGCATTTGCATATATTGACACATAGTAAATACTTACATCTTTTTAAAAAAGTGTAAAGCGTACAAAAATTGAGAGGTTCGAACCCGTTCGAACCTATTCACTACCAGCCCGAACCCCGAACCTCTGGAAAGGTTCGGTTCTGAGTCTTGGCCGAACCTTGGACCGGACCATGCGTCCGGTTCGGAAAGGTTCAGGTTCGAACCGAGGTTCGGAACCGGACTGCGGCAGCACTAGCGCGAAGCTTGCCGAATTGGGGGAAGGGCAAGATTATTAAAATCGTGGAAAGAATTGGAAGCTGCGCGGCTGGTGGGAAATGAAGCACGCAGAACAGCATACAGAGATCAAGTGAAAGCTGTGGGAAGCGGAAAGAGATCAAGCGAAGTTGGAAAGACGGAGACCTGGCCAGCATGAAACAAGCCAAAATTTTGGAAACTGGAAGCACCGCTGCAAAGGCCATCGCTGAATGTTTTCGAGCCATCCAAGGAGGGAGACGCCAGTAATGAGGGAGACACTGATGAGAATCATCGAGTCTGATCAGTGATGGTGGGAGTGAATAGTCAGTCGTTTACGTTACCAAATGTAAAGATAACGCCAATCTCTCTGGCTTACTTCGTTTGGTGCTAGTCCGAGTGGACGGTCACCGCGGAACGTTGATAAGTAAAGACCGAAAACACTGATGGGCCATTCGGATAGGCTTTGTACCAGATGATCGGATCTGGATGATACCCTCTTTGTTGTGCAACAGGAAGCCAACAAATTTTTGCTGGCTCAAGTGCCCGTTCAAAACTGCTTAGTACTAGACCGCCATGCCAATTGGCAGGCGCAATTCGAAGAAGTGCCATGGTGAGATCTGCAGTCCTGAGAGGTAGCGAAAAGATATGAGTATCTCCTACAGGAAGGTATGCACTAGTACTAAATGATTTTTGAGCCAGTTTGGACTGGGAAATTGACAGTCCTAAAGTAGTGCTGTTGGCATAACTCGCAAATTTTGCCAACCAGTTTCGTTTGGCAAAACTGGTACCTTATGCCTGGTCCACGGAGTGGCAGAACCTGGTAGAACTCCAGACTCGCGGAGATGTAACTCGATGAGCTCTCTCGCGTCACTAGTCACTGATCAACGACAATTTTGAGCGCCTGGATTGAATCTCGAGGTGACCTTCAAGTGACTGATGCTTCTTGGCTTAGGGGCCAGGTGAAATTGACGCGGCCCTGCCGCGCCTGCCGCGGTCGTGACGCGCCTGTGACGCGGCACTGTAACAAATTCCTATGTACAAATCATGTTTACACAACTTCATATCGCATTCGAAACACTTTGAATCATCGTTAATGATCAACATATGAGTGTCTGCCTGCGTACAGGCTCTATAGTGCTGTATTCACCTCTCACTAAATTTACAGTGCTTGTCCTCTGCGTTCATACTACTAGTATGCATCTTGTGTGTCAGTCCTATATTGTTGCATTACCTCTAATTCGTTCATCTATGTTGGTTTTCAGATGCAGTGTCAAATGTTGTCTCACTGCGTCAAGCTTCGACCTCACCCTGCCAAGTTTGATCCACTCTCTATACCCTGCACCAACACGTCGAGCCCCAACCATGGCATGTCAGAAGCCTCGTTTAGGCTGCGTCAAGCACTACTCACACCACGACAAGTTCTCCCAAATATCTTCGCAGTCTCTGTACTAATATCAACATCCACACTCTATGCCGCGTCAAGGCCTACTACACATACCGCGTCAGTTGCCGCGTCAAACCTCCTTCATGCCGCGTCACACGCGCGTCACGCCACGTCAAACCTCGTCACTGCCGCGTCACCCGCGCGTCACGCCGCGTCAAACTTCATTCATGCCGCGTCACAAGTAGCACATGCCGCGTCAAACACCTCCACATGCCGCGTCAAACCTCACTACCTCAACTGTCACACTGTCCGTATAACTTAGGTATATTTTACTTGACATCTGTCATAATAATTGATATTCTAACAGTGTTCCTTTTCATCCTGACAGAATTAGACGTCGTACACTGTAATTGTCCATAGGCAGTACTAATAAATTTATTTTACCAAGCATTGTCTCCTCTGGCCTAGAGAAGAAACCCTTATTATCACGCAGATGGCCTGGGCTGATCTCACGATAAGCTATCCTACCAATAGCTTCGTGGCTGATGTCGACCTCGAGTGTCTGACCGCACTACACTGGGGGCAGGGACCAATTTGCCCACGGATCAAAAATTGAACCCAGTGTGATCTCAGACAGACTCGGATCACCTTGAATTCTAACAGAAAATGATAACAACAATTTAATTTTTGTGTGCATTTTTCTTAGTTTATATCAGCTTGAGCTATATTGTCACATATGAATTTTGTTCAATATATACACACATTTTCACCACACATCACATTTACTCTGTGATATCTTTTTGTTCTGATTTTTCCCTGGGGTCACATGATGACCACATTTTCAATAAGTTATAAACTTACAGTTTGAATAAATTCAAACTGTAATTATTTTATGTCTATTCTTTTGTCATTAGAAGCAAGCTGAGATATTTTTGTCTGTAAATGCAAGCAAGATAGTACTTTAATTTTGATCGCATTCTAAACAACTATTAATTTATATCACCCTATGTTCTTCCTATGTCTATACTGTTGTTTCCCTTATTTATAATAACAAACACAGTATCAGTCAGGAGAAGAAAAATTAACAAAATGTGAGGATAATACATACTGTGTACTGTAAACAAAATTGGTGATAAGATAAAATCAGACTTATCTTTGTTGGTGAATCAAATTTTGACCAAAGTCGACATCGACAGTCGACAGTTAACAGTCAACAAATAAATCAACTGTTGACTGTTGACTGTCGACTGTCGATGTCGACTTTGGTCAAAATTTGATTCACCAACAAAGATAAGTCTGATTTTGTCTTATTATCAATTTTGTTTACAGTGCAAAGTATACACCATGACTACATAGGACATGCCAAAGTTTTGGCAAAATCAGCTGCAATGTCAAACTTGCAGCAATCCAACCTGTTCCGGCCCAAGCCAGGTCTAAATAAGCTGAGCCAAGCCCAGGCCCAGGTCACTGCCCTTGGGCTGCTATGAAGTGTCACAGACGGCGAAAAATTCTACTAGTACTACTTGCTGTCGTGATGTTGCCAAAATGAGCATGAGTACAATGTGTTTGCCTTTTGCCTCCTCCTTCCACGCCCAAGTTCTTCTTTGACTGCCAGCGCAACCTCTTCGCCACCCTTAAATTCCATCAAAATTAACATGGTCGAAATTAACTTTTGCCGAAAATTTCTGTACTGTCATGTGTCACACCCTCAAATGCTGCGACGACGAAATGGTGTAGTGTGTCACACGTCACAGGTGGTGCCGAATCGAGTGAAATGCTACAGTATGGGCAGGTTTAAAAGCCCGTGGTGGTCATACACAGATGACAAGACTCTTTTCTGACTGTTGGACAGTGTAATTTCACATTGGGCATGTCCATAATGATGGATCCACGAGATATGCTGAGTCTGCGGGTAGTGCACACTTGAAGGACATTTACAGTACACTAATATTGATGAATGAATCTTAGATGTGGATATGCTTGCTGAGGAGTGTCAGGTCACTTTGGAATTTTGAACAAGTTATTATATAGCTATGAACCGAACATCCCGTTTTCAGACCAATGGTTGTACGTGCATCCAATAGATAGATGCCGTCTTTAGCTGAGGCAGTGTTCGCACTGAATGTGAACACATTGATGGTGTTGCCATTGACGTGAATGTCTCCAAGTTCTGGAGTAGTAATGAATCTGTTGTATTGCCAAAAAGAAAAAGTTCTTTCTGTCAATCAAGACCAATGACTTGGACCCCATGAAATGAAGCAGACATTGCCATAGTAGTGAATGGAAGAAGAGCAAATAGGAAACAGAAAGGAGACGAAACTATCACCACACAGCGACACAGCATGACGTGGTGGACACAATTGTGCCCGAGCCGGTGGTATCTCATGCTTAAATATTGTAGATAGGTATAGTTTCATGGACCTTAGATAGTGCTTTATAATATTGCATAATGATTCTGAAATTATTAAGCACTAGCAGGTTTATGTTTATCTAGCTCTAAGACATAGTAGTTTATCTGCCTTATCAAAAAATTTCTACTTCATCCTAAGTTCATGTGGGAGGTTTTCCCTGATGAGTCATGTGGTTGAATCCTGGTTTCAAGTAGCCAGCAACCTCATCAACAAAAGTGCATGGTGCATGCCCTTGTAGTGCTTACAAATCACTGCAAGACTCACATGAGGTATGTATGAGTATGCAGCATGTATGTATGAGGATTTTGGTGCGCCACCAAGGTGACAGGTGACTCTGCTCAAAAAGGCAACTGCACGTCATGAAGCCACCCACCAGTACATGCTTGGGAAATCACCTATGCAGTATCCATCCCTAGACTCGGGACAAGCATAGGTGTGCTCAAGCATGTGAAAATGAATGAAGTGCCAAAAAGTAAATGTACACAACTTCACAGATAGATAGTATGTAGACAGTTGTCAGCAATGTACATACATAGTATGTAAGTGAAATCAATGCAACTACTATAGACACATGACAGTACAGAAATTTTCGGCAAAAGTTAATTTCGACCATGTTAATTTTGATGGAATTTAAGGGTGGCGAAGAGGTTGCGCTGGCAGTCAAAGAAGAACTTGGGCGTGGAAGGAGGAGGCAAAAGGCAAACACATTGTACTCATGCTCATTTTGGCAACATCACGACAGCAAGTAGTACTAGTAGAATTTTTCGCCGTCTGTGACACTTCATAGCAGCCCAAGGGCAGTGACCTGGGCCTGGGCTTGGCTCAGCTTATTTAGACCTGGCTTGGGCCGGAACAGGTTGGATTGCTGCAAGTTTGACATTGCAGCTGATTTTGCCAAAACTTTGGCATGTCCTATGTAGTCATGGTGTATACTTTGCACTGTAAACAAAATTGATAATAAGACAAAATCAGACTTATCTTTGTTGGTGAATCAAATTTTGACCAAAGTCGACATCGACAGTCGACAGTCAACAGTCAACAGTTGATTTATTTGTTGACTGTTAACTGTCGACTGTCGATGTCGACTTTGGTCAAAATTTGATTCACCAACAAAGATAAGTCTGATTTTATCTTATCACCAATTTTGTTTACAGTACACAGTATGTATTATCCTCACATTTTGTTAATTTTTCTTCTCCTGACTGATACTGTGTTTGTTATTATAAATAAGGGAAACAACAGTATAGACATAGGAAGAACATAGGGTGATATAAATTAATAGTTGTTTAGAATGCGATCAAAATTAAAGTACTATCTTGCTTGCATTTACAGACAAAAATATCTCAGCTTGCTTCTAATGACAAAAGAATAGACATAAAATAATTACAGTTTGAATTTATTCAAACTGTAAGTTTATAACTTATTGAAAATGTGGTCATCATGTGACCCCAGGGAAAAATCAGAACAAAAAGATATCACAGAGTAAATGTGATGTGTGGTGAAAATGTGTGTATATATTGAACAAAATTCATATGTGACAATATAGCTCAAGCTGATATAAACTAAGAAAAATGCACACAAAAATTAAATTGTTGTTATCATTTTCTGTTAGAATTCAAGGTGATCCGAGTCTGTCTGAGATCACACTGGGTTCAATTTTTGATCCGTGGGCAAATTGGTCCCTGCCCCCAGTGCTAGAAGCAAGGATGTTCGAGGATTCCGAAGAAGCAGGACCTGCAGGCAACCAGCAGTGGGGTTTGGATGCTGGCCAACATCACAGGCGATGGAATGTGTATCTCGGAATTCCTGATGAATGGGTTTCTGCAAGAGATTATAGCGAGAGTGAACTTGAAGTGAGGAAGACTTTACCTGCTCCGTTCGATAGATATCTAACTTATGTGATTGACAGCGCGGCCCCTTATTCAGTGATAACTCTGATGCTACATCTTTGGAGTCTGCAGACGAGCTATCCGAAGCTGTAGTTCCTTCTCTGCCGGCCGAAGAATGTCCGCCCGTTAAACGTCGATGTGCTCCACAGGCTCGAAGGGTTCAGAGAGGGAGGAAAAGAAAATAGTCATTGGCTTATGTATACCTAGTTGTACATGGCTCTGAGGCAAATAAAATAACAAAAGAATGGTCGTGAACTCATCCAACTTGATCTGGAAGTTGAATATAGAATATAGGAATGGCGCGTCAGTGGCCGCGTCAAGGATCGTTAGTGCCGCGTCAAGGCTCGTCAGTGCCGCGTCACATGCGCGTCACGCCGCGTCACGGCCGCGTCACGACCGCGGCAGGCGCGGCAGGACCGCGTCAAAATAGCTACGCCCTTGGCTTAGTACCAACTGGCACCCCGACTAATAGGACCCCACAAATTGGCAACACCTCCTACGATGTCCGAGTCTCGCCACCCGCTGATCAATTTTCTACACTAGATTTAACCAATGCTACTCCAATCCTGAGGCATCCCAACCGCGCAGGATCATCAAGAACATCTCAAACTCTATTGCGCAAAATTTCCAAGAATACAATCGGTAAAGTACAACTAGTACGCATAACTATATAGACAGCAACAGAACACGGTACGACCTCTATGTTAATTCTTAACGCTACTTGAAGGTAACGTCTTCTAATCATAGAATACCAGAGCCCTCAGCTCGATGGATTCCCGAGGCGGCGCTCCCTCTGGAGTGTTCACGTCTTTGAAGGCAGTATGAGGCCCGAGCCTCGCGACGCTCCCATCTTCGACCGACTCAGAGCTGAGACCCTTTTAGCACGACATACATTTCCCCCGAATGACTTTGCTCACCATTTGATAAGAACAAACTCTTCTGGGGTCATCGCCTTCAAGTACTTCCACTGGTGGTTTGGGTTGTATTTGACTCCAAATGTCTCACCCTCGCGATCAGGGTATATAAGAGCAACAGGCAACAAATCTTCCTTGAAATCGACACTCTGGAAGTCACATAATGCAAGCGGCCAATCTACAGCTGCATGCGAAATAGGGCGCCACAAGTTTATGATTTGGAAGCGTTTGCTGAGGAGCGAAGGAACTTCTGTTGGCGGGAGATGCCTATGAACACGAGCAATGGACGCCGCAGGGGTTTGGTCCACATGAGCCCGGGGGACTGGCTGACGTTTCTCTGGACCACTATCTGTCTCGCCTGGGCGACGGCGACGAACGGCTGTAACATGAATTAGGGATCAAGACGGCGTTTTCAAATTGGTGGTCAACGTACTGTGATCGAAGATGACAACCTTGGTCGCTCCTGTAACCCTCTTCATGAGGTCGATGCTCTCAGGGTAGTATTCGCGCTCAATCTCATCATCATTCAAGAAGCTGGTATGCTTCGGTGCCTCTCTCCCATACTGAAATCCGGCATTGTCAAGCTTGTAAAGTTCCTCCTTCCCGCGCACGTCCTCGATTTGCACTTCATGCGGGTCCTCAATCCAGTTGTGGACGGGCTTTCCCGAGGGAGCGTAGATGTCAGTGTAAGGCCGAGAGCCGTCAGACGGAGGGAGGAAGTAGTTGAGGGTGGTGATGGTGTTAGAAGCCATGGTCAGTCGGTTGCTATTTGGTGTAAAGTGGAATGGAAGTGCCCTTGGTATCGCTATACTCACCAGTAAGTTATGTCCTACTTATATATGCCTTCAAGGGCGGGGAAGCCACTTGGCTTACATATGACTTGATCAATTCTCCAGATTGAACGCGGATTGTTAATGTAGATGAAATGATCTCATAAGCATCTACCGAACCGCGGAATATAAGTGATAATGATCCAAAGTTGTAAAGCTTCGCACCTTGATTACTAAGTCTCCCGCGTACCGCTCAAAGCATCGTCTCCGCACGCAATTCCCTGTTCGGTTCGGAAATGACTGAAAGAAGGTCCCTTGGTAAGTGGATGTACCGGCCCTTCAGCACGATGACTTAGGCGCCGCAGGCGAGGGCCAGCCAGACACCGTTAACGTTGAGCTTCCCCTGCATATTCGAAACGCTGAATGTCTTTATGTAAAAAATCATTTACTCACATTCCTAACGTTCTTCCCGTTCATAATTCTATGCATGTCCCTTGTTTTCATTCTCCTGCGTACTCATTTCTCCGTCGAAAACTATATCGCCTACGTCCACCATGTCATGATGTGGCCCAGCCAGTGAGAGCTCCACTTGGACACTCAGGGACTTTGGTATCATAGCTTCAAGCTTCGTCATCTTCACGTATCTTGCAATATCATACCATGTAGCTCGGATCCGTTTTCCACGACCACTCCTCAGTTGTTCTAGCATGTGGAATCGAATTTGGTGCATGCAGATGTCTAAATAGAAGGATGTATTATTGTAGTGAAGCGGCGTCGGCGTAACTAGATAAACTTCGTGACTTCAGCAGCGACATTCATTCTCAACCCATCGACAGTCAGTATCCATGTACAACATGGGTGAAGTAGTGGGCAGGTTGGGTGATGAGTAGAGGAGGATGAAGATTGGGAGTTGTATCATATCAAATCAGCATGGAAGCCGCATCTGCAAGCTAAACATCAAAAACAGATTCTATTGATCATTCGTACTATAACTTTTGTTCTCTCTTTTCCGGTACGCTATTCCCCAGGACAGCTCGCAGAGCACCTATGTCCTAACAGTTTCGTTTATTGCGATATATAAATATATAAATTCTCTCATGTGCAATGCGAATAGTTTTACATACATGCTCGGGTGACACAAATCAGACTCCAGCTCCCTTGGAGTAAACACTTGAAGTCTTTTGACGCATCTTCAAGATGACTTGCATGGATACGAACAAGATACAGCCGCCAGTAGCGACACTCTAGACTAGCGTGTTAGCCAAAAACAGAAAGCGCTAGCTTGACATGGTTCACTCGCCCCAGCAAGGATAGCAGCCTTCCACCAGATGTAATGCGACGTCAGGATGGCCCCACAGATTGGTGCACCTAAGCCGAACGTGAGCGACTGTCGAGGGAATGTCAACGGCGCACGTGCCCACGAGTGCCCCCATGCCTGTGAATACGTGTCAAGACTCAGGGTGCCACCAAATAAAGACCCAGAGGCTTACTAGATGTCGCAAACGTTATCCCCATCCGTGCGCTTGAGTAGCGTCAGAGAAATTCAAAGGCAGATGCTAAGTGGTTACCCAGTATGCGAGAATTCAGGAGTCAGATGCGATATCAACGGGCCCATCATTGCTACAACTGGAGTCGAAACTTGGTTAGTGTCGGAGGAGCATCATGAACCTACGCACCACCACCGGAAAAAACTCCATAGCTTACAGCTATAACAGCTACACTGGTGGTCGAGTGCAGGCCAACCATTGCAAATAGTACAGCGGAGGATATTAATGAAGAGACGATGATGGTGTTCGGGATGCCCACGTATGCAGCGACAACACCCGCAGCAAGTCTTCCGATGAAAGAACCAGAACTAAGGATAGTGAGCTGTCGGGGTGATAAGCAGTTCTTGATTATTTGAGCAGTTTCTGATACGCACTGAATAAAACGAAAATCCTTGACTTAGACCATGCAGGCTGGAATCTAACTGGAGATAAAAGGATTCGAAGAAGTACCCGAATTCAAAAGCAGCCATCCTAAGCAGTGAAAGCGACCTGAATGTTCATACCATCGGGTATTGCAAAGTTTACGCACCCTACACAGGTACAGATATAAGCACCATCTCTCGACGAGTTCTGAAGAACGCGGGTGTAGCTAACGATCTTTGGTTGCGGTGGAAGCCTTGTTCGCATCAGGAGATTTGCGATGAAAAGCAAGCCACCATTCAGAGCCGCACTCGCACGAACACCGTTTGCAAAGCCAAGTCTTCCATTGATAAGATTGTTGAGCATGACTGGGTGCAAGATCGCACCCAGTGACCCTCCCGCGGCGACGATTCCCATCGCAAAAGCTCTGCGTCGCTGGAAGTGATGCGATACTATGGCGATCGACGGGACATTTGTGAGGCCCATTGCAAAACCTAAACCGATACCTTGGGAAAGGAATATCTACGTCCATAACAATACGGTCAGCGAAGCTGCGCATTAACAAAAACGAGACTTGCTTGATAATACTGTTCTGGTTTTGCCAGGGACAATATAAAGAGGAAGAAACATTGGAGGAGACAGCCGATTTTCATCACAGGGTAACTGAACACGTATGATCAGGGACGTCTTTATGCGAACTTCTTGCATACATACAATGCGCCCCGATCGACCATTCTTCCTGACACGATACCAACTGATAAAATCAAGAACGCATTGATACTTCCTATCCAGCTACACCGCAGTAGAGGTCAGAGATACTAGCAGCCAAGAAACCACCTAGGTAGATCTAGAGCTTACTGACGCGATTGCAGATGGTGTGGAATTAGTTAGGTATTTTTGGGTATAAAAGTCTGCAAATCGTGGTTGTCAGTCCGTCCACGTAAGATAATTCACAAATATGCTTGCCCTGGAAGACACCGTAAGCGCTGACATATCTGGAACGTGTTAGTAGTTTAAGCACACAAATGGCGAGTCGAATTCACCCGAAGCCACAGAATTGGATCAATAAACTTAACGGTCGCAGTTGATGATGAGTATGCAGCGACAGATTGGTGGACAGAAGCACTTACGCGCCCAGCACTGTGCCCCAAGCGGTAAGACCACCTTCGGGAAAACTTAGCGCATCCGAGGGGTCGACAAGGCTGGTATTTACAACGCTTTCGATGGATTTCGAGACGCTCTCGGGAGCTTGCTTTGCAATTTCATCACTGGAGGAAGGGTTGGACATGGACAATGGGGGCCAATTGAGCTATGGATGGGGCATGCATAGTATCCTATAACAGAGTTTAAATATGAATATGAAGTTGACTCGGAGCAACCAGGAGGCTTGTACACGACAGCGGCCGCCGGCATTATACCTGCTAGACCCTAGACTTAGTCTGACGTATGTCATATCAGCAACATAGGGGTGGACTGTACGCCCCTTGACAGCCCTGTACAGAGCCACAGGAGGGATTCTCTCTGCATAACTCGAGTGTGTACACAGTGCATATAAGGCTAGACACGGTGTTACAGAAACGACACAGAAAGGCCACGGGGGCACAGGTTCCTGTCATATTAATGCTCAAACAGGGCAACTGTAACGGACCTGTGATGCATTGTCAGTACAACTGCCATACCTGGGTAGAGGCATATGCACCTCAGGCTGGTATATCACCAATGCATCACCAATGGGTGACTTCCCGTAGCATAAGCTTTTGATTCAAACCTTGAAGTCGGAGTATAGTCTCGCAACTCGTCGCAACGTAGAAATGCCTTCCAAACTGCAGACCAATTGTACCTAGATTCTAATGTACAGCGTTGAGGTGTCATAGGGCATGTAAGCGACGGTTACAACGTACTCACCGGGTTTGTTACTAGTAGTAGGTGTTTTGATTGTTTTGAACACCATTTGAATCTAGAAGGGTAGTCCCCCCCTTCTAGTCTCTAAATCTAGAGATCACTTTAGAACTGGGTGCTTTTGACATGCGGACTTGTAAAACACTTGATGTTTGACGGCGGCATGTCGGCACGAGGACTTGAGAACATATAGATTTAGAACAACGTTTCTAAACGTTGCGGGAAGTCGCATCCAATAGGCCCCCACTGCGTTTTTTTGACTGTGGGAACTTTGCCCATTTCCGGTCAACTCCTGAATCCCGCAGCTTGCAGTGAGATCTGCTCATTTTCTGTGGCGAGGATCGTGGCTGGGGGTGGTCACTGCTACCCACCTGTAGGTTTCTACTGAGCTTGAGCGTCGTAACACTCTCCCTAGTCTTCGCAATCCTCTATGTTATATAAAATCTGTAAACCAAAATACATGTAGCCTAAGTTATATACTTGAGGCTTGATATTATCGCCCGAACTAAAACGCCATGCCCCCTGTAGATCCCATGACACATATAAATGTAGTAGAAAAGGCTGATTCATAATTAATTTAGCATGTAAATTCATGCTCCTCACTTTCCTTGCGCCATGATTCGCCCTTGCGCAGTACCAATATAACCAGTAATTCCGTCACAACCAGGATTCCAGCCCATGCCGAATACAATCCCCCATCTCCTAGAGCATTCTTAACAGAGAGCAGGCTAGCATCAGAATTTGTGAGATACGGTAGATATCGAGAGAACTCACTTGAAGCGGTACGGCAACCATGATCGAAACAAAGGCCATAGATCCTCGGAACGAACTGTTTGCGGCAACCGCTGAGCACGAGCGACCAGGGTTCGCATCAACGAGGTATGCCAATGTACACGTATACATCCATCTGGAAGTAGATGTCAACACAAGCAGGACAACAAATGACTAGTTTACTGACATGGAGGTGAATCCAATAAGCACGAGCATGACGCAAATGACAGCGACATTGGCCTGCTTTTCGCATGCCCAAGCATAGCCTATCACAGACAGAGGTGCCCACAGCATTGCCAATTTCGAGCTCTCTAAACGCATCTTCGAAAGACGTTAATAAACAGTTCTAGTGTGGGAGTGTAGAAAATATTCACTTCTGCATAGCATTTGCCTCCATTCGCTTCCATCATCTTCGCAAGCACTCGGTCGGACCAACGGCCGCCGATCACACTCCCAGCGATACTTCCTACGTAGGAATTAAGTCATCCGCTACAATCAGGGGGGTGAATATCTCACCTATGCCAAGGCAAAGCAAGACTAAGCCGGTGCTAAACGCATCGTAATTATATCTATTGGCGAGAGTGAGAGAACACGTGTAAGATAGGGAGTAGCTGAATCCGAAGATAAGCCCTATCGCGAAATTGAGTCTTGACATCGTGCACACGAGGACAACCCTTCACTCACCATTAGCAATAAGAATTAAAACATTGTTCTTGCGCGACAGAATTCGAAAGTATGGTGGAAAGGGGTTGATGTCCTTGAATGATAGTTTGACGTCGTCCAACCCTGGTGTAGAAGTTACCGCTGAGATATTATCTGGAACATCCGGCGATTGGAGCTGCTTCTCGGCATCTTTGACGGGTGTTTGGTCCTTGCTAGACTCGTTCCCGGCGATGGTAGATTCGTTTGGACTCCGAACGCGTTCTTTGGAGGCAAGAAGTCGCTGTAAAGCGGAGCAATAGGTGAGACTCCGTTCACGTCGGTATGTATCCTTGAACAGGATGAGGAAGGACAAGAATACGACTGCTGAACAGACAAGCAGGAAGTAAAAACAAGCGCGCCAGCCCAAGGCTTGTGACAACGAGCCGCCGAGTATAGGGCCCAAGGCGGGTCCCAAGAGAGGTGCAGCAAAGAAGATACCCATCGTGCTCCCTCGCTCGTGAGTGTCGTAGATATCAGCCAGGGTCGCGGCCGAAATAGCCATGGCAGCGCATGACCTACAGGAGAAGGCGTCAATGATCAATTAGTACTCAGTGCTTTTTGGATGAATACTCACCCCGCAGCTTGAAGTGCTCGCATGCCGATCATCACCTCGATGGTATTTGAAAGTGCCAACGCGACACTTCCTACCACAAACAAAGCCGAAGCTACCAGATAGACAGGCTGTAATAAACGAATTTTCAATACGCAGTTCGGGAAGTGGAAAGCATCTAGACCAACCTTACGACCTTTAATTTCACTTGCGGCGCTCCATATTAGAGGGAAGTTCCCCTGTATAATTAAGAAAGCTGCCAGTGTCCAGCTAATCTGGCTGCTTGTCGCATGCAGATCTGCTTCTATCGCTGAGTTCGAGGCTGCAAGAACATGTCAATATTAAACGACTCATTGTGGAAAGACATGTAACAAACGATTTTGGATGTTAGAAGCTAATGCAGACACCATTGTAGCCAATGATACAATGCACAGAGTTGTTGTCTACAGGTACAACGTCAGATTAGTTACAGAGTGCGTCACATGATACACGCACCTTTCTAGCAGGGCTCCATTGACGGGGGTCATCGTTGACTGGGACATGTTCTATGTCAATTGTACTAGCTGCGCTTGTGGACGACTCGATATCAGCATCTTGACGTAGCGTTGTGGGTTCGGACACAGAACATGCGTTGGCAACAGTTGGACTAGCCATGAGTAAGAAGTTGAAAAGGACGATGCAGCGGAAGGTTGCAGTCTCTGGTCCAAGATGCATTGAATTTATACATCCAACGGGGCCCCTTGTATCTCATGCTCTCTAATATTGCAATATTGGTACATTCCGAGCATGTGTACGCCCCTTCCGTGAAGGCAATCCTAGCCTGGCTAGCCACAGCTGTCGCAGATTGTTCCGAGTTGATCTAAAGCTATGCGTTCATTTACCGTTCTGAACCTCACGGGGGCCAAAATTACGACATTCCATGGCTCCGGCACCTGCTATCAGTCCCGTAAATATACCGCATTTCGGACGGAAGAGAAATGGGATACATGGTATCCCGATGATATAAAAAAAGATTATAGCTGCTGAAGTATTGCGAGGCAAGAGAGTAAAAAAAGTCGAGCACGTACCCCCGAACATCTCGACACGTTTTGTTCCTCGTATCGAACTCTTCAAGGTACGAATGGAATCCTCATGATATCGAGGAGTTTCAACACTGGTACTGAGTATCTCCGATATGTCCGACACTTTGTTCTGTTTCCGCTTGAAGTTCTTCTGCCGGGCCAGACAGAATTTGGGCGGTGTTGGTGATTGGAAGGACTGAATCAAAAATATCGATTGTCTAAGAATAGCTATAGCTTCGAAGCCACGTTCAATGAAGCAATGCGAGCACCGCCGCTGTAAGTCTGTTGACAAAGCCGGAAGAGACGTTGAATTAGTCAATTGCCTGACAAGGTTAACGGAATCATGGAGAAAGAAATGTGTGCTAATGCGGGGACAGGCTTTCCTGAGGTTGGTTAGCCTACTAGTCGCAATGTCTGTTCGTAGATACTTACCTAATTCGATGGATGAGTAAGCATTTAGGCTTAGTCTTCGATTCCGTCTATTCGGCACCGCCACTATTCTTATAAGTTATGTAATACTAGAAATGAACGAATATTTTTTTGGTACTCGAGTACCAAAGTCTCTCGGTGGCTCAAGTACCAATCAAAAGCTGTTTGCAGACTGTAGTGCGTAGACTTTGAATTAAATTTGTGGGAAAAAGTTATTTTTGTAAACCTTAGCCCAGCGGCCGCTTGCAAGCGAACCCGAAACCCGGGCTCGATCGACGTTTGCAACCTCATTTGGTCCTTTCCAATGGACTAGAACATCGGTTGATCCCGCAACCCTTCATTGAATCTCAAGGTGTGCCACTGGGCTGCAGGGCAATTACTTATCAGCTACGTCTATGCTGACATGCGCTGACAGCTGATTCATATGCAGGCAAGTGCTAGCTCGCTCGATCCACTTCTGGAGTCAAATTACCTTGCTTGTCATGAAGGTTCTGTACTTACCGGCAACTTCCATATAACACGTGACCATAGTAGCAACATCTAGAAAGTCTCGCGATTTTTCAGTCGAGTCTCGGACCAGGTAGAGCACTCGCTCGTGCTACGCCTCAGCCATAACTTTTATCATTTTTGAAATGCTGATTCAAATGAAACACGCTAAATGTCAATTGCTAGATCACGTCGCGCTATCATGAATGGGAATATAGTTTCAGGCTATGCAGACGGCATGTCACGCGTCACGAGTAATCATTCAATTGAATGGCGAAGGAGAGTTAGCTGTACGATCTTCCTTTTGCGACCATATCAGCGAGCCGAAACCCGCATACAACGTATTTAGGGTCAGCATCTGCCGGCACAACCGGTTCCGCCTGACCGCCACACCATGCAGAACAATTGATCCGTTTCGTCACTGCATGGCAAAACTCTGCCAGAAACGTGTTCTTAACGTGTAAGTGGGAAAACCAAATGTCACAGCCGTTGGCAGAGGTGTGCCACTGGGCCCTTGCAGGGCAATTACTCATCAGCTACATCGATGCTGACAGCTGATTCATATGCAGGCTAGTTCACTTGATCCACTTCTGGGGTCGAATTACCTTGCTTAGGGTTCTGTACTTACCGGTCACTTCCATGGAACACGTGACCACCGCAGTAACATCCAATGTCTTGGACCACAGTCATTGATTTACTTAGTAGCGCACTCGTGCTAATCCCCAGCCGTAACTTTCATCAGTTTTGAAGTGCTGATATATGTCAATTGCTAGATCATGCCGCTATCATGAATGGGAATATAGTTTCAGCCTATGCAGACGGCATGTCACGCGTCACGAGCAATCATTCGATTGAATTACGAAGGCGAGTAGTACGATCTTCCTTTTGCGGTCATATCAGCGAGCCGAGACCCGGACGTCCTGCATGCATGCATGTGCATGATCGACCGAGGATTGTGCTAGAAGTGCTACTTACGTATTTAGGGTCATCATCTGCCGGCACAACCGGTTTCGCCTGACCATGCAGAACAATTGATCTGTTTCGTCACTTCATGGCAGAACTCTGGAAAGGTGTTCTTAGCGTGTAAGTGGGAAAACCAAATGTTACAGCCGTTGGCAGAACGCTAGGCCAGTCCCAAAAAAGAAAACAAGTCCAACTTTCAATTTTCAACTTCCGACATGGGACATTACAGCCTGGGGAGCCTATAATTCGTGGTATCTGACCGGAGATTGTAACTCCAAAAACGCTGTCCTGTTTTATTTTTGACGATTTGCCTAGCGTCTTGTGGTTGTAAGTGATTAATTAATTATCAGACCCGTAGGCCACCGTCCATCTATGTTGAGACTGTAATCTTTTGTTTGTGCTAAAAACTCAGCTTCCGCGTTTAGGATAATGCCTCCTATCTTAGCCGTAGTAGCCGTCCTTCCTAAACCTTTTGTTCCAGTTTGATGAACCTTCTCTCATCCTTCTCTTCATACAACTTTCCTGAACGATCTAGTGGTTTCTATATGCAGAACTTGATCAAGTATGCCCGATGAGCTTAGACCGGCGAATTCTTATTACATAGTTATATGTTATACCAGAATGTAATCCCACATGACACCTACACCTCTCAATTTGCATCACAGATAGTAGAATAACGCCTTCTGGACTCTGTTCGTAAGTATTTGTCCATGTTTAATGGACGCATGAGTCCTCGTCCGTCGCTGCCCTAAATCCATCCAGGTATATGAACTGATCTAGCTTAATAATCTCAATCCGCGGTCCCGGTGGTGAAAACAGCTCACAAGATCTTATTCTTCGACGCGCTACGGTGTTCAACCGTCCTACCGAAAGTCGTCCGATTTTCTTTCGCATCGTCGCGGTCGGACACTAGTCCTCTTTCCAGACACGGAGTTCCATTTTATGGTTATGACAAAACACAGTTGACACAAATCTGTACTTGCTCTATCATGGTAACGCCCGAAGACGAACATATCGGCCTGACTCGTCACCATTCTGACGTACGTCTTTAGGATTGGGGGATCTTGACGGCCACTCGAGCATCCGGAGTAGTATATGCCAGGGTAGTCACGAGGCTACAGGCCAAGTTCGTCCCAAGCTTGTAAATCGTATCATAACTCGGTCAAATTCTGGATCCGAAACCGATCTGATAACGTACTAGACAATATATGAGGGGCCCTCCATGAATGCATGACCTTTCATACCATTAATGCCAGTTCAACACTCGGAGTTTTAAACCAACCTTGGTATGTCATCTGCATTACAGTCATCGTTGTGAACTCCAATGCGGGGAAGGCGGCCGAAGAGCACGTATTTGTAATTGAAAACAGGCTCAGATCTGACAGCGCTCAGGCTCTTGAACTTTATAAACAAAAAGACTACAACGAGATGAGAATTGTCATGTACGTAAGTTACAGCCCGTTCGGACTTTAAAATTCACAGCCGGTTCTAAGGCTAGAAATTTGCAAGTCCTTTCGAATCCCGCTCGGAACGCTCGGCAGCGACGGTGGTGACACGCCACGCAAAGCTCTCTGCAGCACGCTCGCACCGTTAAAAAAGTTTCGGCAGCTCTACGAAGCCACATAATTGACTACTTTACCTACTCCGACCTTTCCCAGAATTTTCCGTCCGCGTCCTGCCCCGCGCTGGACTCCTTGACCAGCCTCGCCCACCAGACGCACCTCTTTCGCTTTTGGCAGTGCTTAAGTAAGCCCATGCGTGATGTGATTTCGCAGTGATTCTCACCGCAAGACTCGTTGAACAAGCTCGCAGTCAAACCAAGCACCACAGGGACATCTCAGTCTGTGATTCGACATCCCACACCTCAAGGCACCTTTGAGGCGTGGGATGTCGAATCGCAAACATTGGGTGTGAGTGCACTGGGAACAAGACAAACAAAAACACCGTAGCCGCATTGCTGACAACAGCCCCACTACGGTTTGTTAGTTCGACGAGTCAACGCTGAAGACTGTCGGAGCTCCCTTGGAAGGGCATACCTGGATAGTCTTAGGTCTAGTACTCTCATTTGATGATGCTCTCCTTGCTAATGCTTCCAGTGGCAAGACCATCAATTCCTCGCTTCGTGAGTCAACGTCCGACCTTACCACACTCTCGTCCTCTCACCAACTGGGTTACTACCCGAACTGGAATGCTAAGATTCACATATACGACATTCCGTCTGACATCCTGACCAGTGTCTGGCCTACACAGAAAGAACACTGTCTACTCCACGTAGGTGGTCCACAACTTAGCTGCACCACTCTACTAATACCATTATTGCAGTCTAGCCCCATGTGCCGTGCCCTGCACTACAACCATATCCGGATCGCACCTATCGCAGCCTATCAGCCACCACATTGTCCTGGACTTCCGCTCCAATCACTTTAAGGTCCCCTACATAACTCATCAGCCTGGCAACCCGTTTCGGCCTCGTCTTCTTTCGATGTTCCTCTCGCGTGAGGAAATCGGTTTTTATCGCTCTGAGATCTTACATCACTTTGCAGCGGGTGCTCCTGACAGATACGATAACGTGATATATGATCTTTATTTAACATCGTTCATCGTTTACCAATTCACTATCACTACAGAAAGGGCAAAGTACACGGAACTGGCCGTTTGTGTAGCTGTTTATAAACTATTACGACCCGGACCCGTGTAGACTACGATGCAGATGAAATGACAGTCAAGTGACAATATTTTTTCCGGACGTGGTGTGCTCCGAGAATTGAGCGGGATGTATCATATACTTGTAATACATACAAATGTTGGGTTATCGCCTTGCCACAGGTTGGCCAAACCTAGGCTGCGAAGGGTGATTTTAGAGTAAGCTGGTTTATCGTGACGGAGCTCAGTTAGACTTGGACTTGAGGTGATAGATAAGACGAAGAGAATGTCACCAAGCAATTACTAATAGCTTAGATACAAGACCGCCGTTGGGCTACTATTGATTTTTCTATAAGTACGACACGTGTAAGGCTGGTTCATCACGACATGCGGAAGCTAAGAAATTACCAAAGCAGAGATCTGAGAGGAATGGAGAGTATATGTCGAGCATGTGGATTCGAATAGTAATGGTATTGCTTGGTGGAAACGGCAGACGCCACAATTTTTCTCTCCCATGAAATTTTTATTCTGCCCGAGCAAAAATAAAATTTGTTCAGAAGCAAAAGATGTACTCTTGAGTACTGACGTGCTTCCCCTTTTTGCAGGCGCTGCATTCATTATTATGTGTGCACCAGAAAGGGCAGTCCTTGGCAGCTGCAGCGTCACCATGTGTCGTCAAAGCAGTAAAGACAACGAGGACATGAGAGAAGCGTACCGTTTGTGAAGATGCCGCCGCGACCCGGGATCAAATGAATCTGAAGGGGGGGGGGGGGGGGGCGGATATCGATCTGTAGTAGGAACTTGCTTCCATATGCTGAGTATTGTTCCTTATGGCAATGGTAGAAATAACTTTTCTACAATCTTGAAGGGTGCTCGATTCGCTTCATTTTCGTTCGGAGGCCCGTCGACTAAACCTTTGCAGGACGCTCCATGAGATCGTTTGATTTGGTCCGCCATATCAAGCAGTAGACGAATCAAATTTTCACCGTATCAGCACAGGTATAGGTAGCATTATCCCAATGGCCCGAAAGACGTGGAAAATGAGATCCTGAGCTTCGTGCGCCAGCTCATCAAATTTGATGGCTCCTTGCTCCTTGCTCCGCGGCTTATGCGTTATCCCTTAAGTTTGCCATGCCGTTAACATTGTTTCATTTACCCACACTGCATGGATAGTGTGTAGACGTGTGGAATTTAGTGATATGACTCACCGGGTTTCCTTGGTACCGCCATCATAGGTCCGTTCCCGTACCCTAAAAAACGGTACACGTCTGGTCAAAATGAACTCATCTGGACAGCAACCCGTTTGTCAGCATGAATCGAGTTCGCCGTCTCAACGGTTGTCCTCCGGCAGATCGAAAGAATGATCGGTCATGCATTCATGTCCGTGAAAATTTGCTCCGTGTGCGCGTGTGCGATGCTGGATGAATATCTGATGCTGTTATTCAAGCGTCCCGGCGGACTAAGACCTAATATCTTGAATCCTGTGTTGCGCAAGCCTTTCGAGCTGTCGAATCGGCAGCATGACGCAGCGTCCCGGCGCCACGCTCGTTACTACGCCGCGGAGAAGTACAAGGACGTCGTGGTGGAATACCTCCCTCAAGCAGGAGGAAGCATACACTATCGCCGAGACTGCCGTAAGACGGAGTACGACAGTCACTTGAACCATAGGCAATTTGTACAAGCTGATGAATGGGATATACGATTGTAACAGGATGAGACCCAAAATCCAGGACGTAAATAATCAACGTGCGCAAGAGCACGCAGCGCCCAGACAGCGTGATCCAAAATGGAAAGAACAAGTGACGGTGTGAGTATTGCTTCCATGGAACCAAACCTATTAATAAACATGAATGTACACGTAGCAAAATCAAAAGCACTGCAAAAGTTCATGGAATTTGGCATGGCCTCCACATTGGAGGAGAGCAGGAGGGTCGAGCACGTACGGTACGAGAGCGGGGTAGGAAGAAAACATGAAACAGCAAAGCATAAATGGTAAACACAAAAAGACAGGCAACAAGTCCATCAGTAGGAGTAAAACACCCGGGTCAAGCTACGGCAAAAGTTACGTAGAGGGAAAGTGGAAATGAAAGGGGGATATACGCAAGTCTTAGTCTATATATGCGTTATAAGCATGTCCATGTGAAATGTCTATGTTTTTAACGTCGTCACAGGGTCGTTGGCTAATGCGGGTAAAAGAACTGTAGCAGGAAGAGAAAGGGGGAGGGAGTGACTGAATGTACAAAATGCGACGATAAACAGAAAAAAACAAAGTGCGCAATAATATGCAAAAGGACCACTGTCATCGTCCATCAGGTGGTGGTGGTGGTGGTGGGAAGGGAATCCAAGATAGACGGTCGACAGCGCGTATGGATGACTCCGCTTCAAGCAAGTCATGAAAACCAAGTGCTGGGAATATAGTCGCATAAGGAAGCCAGAGCAATATGGGAGCACAAGCGGTAAGTGGTAGAGGGCAAAGTCCGGTATCAAACAATCAATTGTTCACTTCCCACCCGACACCTTGAACATCACCAGACCACACAACGCTATCGAGTATCCTGCGCGAGTCATCAGTACAGGACGAGCATCAAAATCAAATCCAACAAAAACACACCAAGAGCCTGCAAAATGCCAATCGATCCACCCCAAATAACCACACTTCCCGCAACCAATAACACATCCTTCAGTACCCCCGCAAGGGTCAACACCAACCCACTCCCAGCACTCACCAAAAACACAGCAGCGATGTTTAGCAAGAACGCGAGCAGCGCGTTTGTAAGAAGAAAAAATGGGGTAATGTGAGGTGCTGCTTCTTCGCCTATGGCAGCGAGCAACTCTCCTGACGCACCGACCATTGCGACAGTAGCGTTGGATGCGGCTTCGCCTGACACTGCGGACATGGCATGGCTGTAAGATCCTACGATGCTCCCCCATACTATGCGGAACGGCTCCAGGCCCTCGGTAAAAGGTATGACGCAGAGGTTGATAAGTGCGCAGACAGGCGCGTAGAGATGGAGAGAGACGAGGGGGTCCATTTTGAGTCCATGGAGGAGGGTTTGGATGAGGACTAGGCGGGTAGCTTCGAACTGGGAGGAAGGTTAGTTAGGTGTGTGTCTGGACTCGGAGTAGAGTGGTGCTCACCCCGACTCCTCCAGCTTGGATGCAAAACCCAATCCAACTGAAAAACCTTTCACCCTTGCTTGTGATGGCGACACCAGAAGAGATCATGAGGACGATGAGGAGTAGCTTGCGGGAAGGTTCACTAATGCGAGTGGCCCATGTGATGAGTAGGATCGCTACGGGGGTGAAGGCCTGTGTAGATGTTAGTACGGGAAATATCCAAAGCAATACGCATGAGGCATAACGTGAAACAAGGGACGTGTGTAGTACCGGAGAAGCGGAGATGAGGTGGTAATGAAGGTTGAATGAAAGTTACAGAAACGGGGAAGTTTATCAAAGGCAACGACACCAAGACTGTGAGAAAGATAACACAAAAGTGTGGGATGGACTAACCTTGAGCATCTGAATATAGGCCACGCTCAAGTATAGATAAGCAGTGTTGCTGAGGATAAGACTGCCAGAGAAAAGGAGACCAATGGGTAGGATGGAGCGCAAGAACATATCTTTGCTGACTGGTACATCCTTTGCACCGTCCAAGAGATGCGTGGTACGTTGAAGGACTCGGGTTCCAATAGCCTACTCGAAGTGTCAGTAGAGTATAAGAAGATACAAAAAACTTACCGCAAAAGTCAAATGCCAAGTGACCAAAAAGACTGGAAACTTAAAGTTTAAAGTGTTGTAGATGTAGTTGTTGTAGATGATGACTCCACTACTAAGAGCAATCCACACTGGAATGATCGTAGCTGCACTAAACTTTGCACGACTGCGAGGTTGTTGTGCGGTGGCAGGTGAAGGAAGGTCTCTGCTTTGACGGACTTCCTCGAGTTCGACAGATTCAAGCTTCTCTAATTCGCGTTTCTCCATCGTCGAGAGTCGCGATTGGCGTCGTGTGTGGTGGTTCGACGTCGTTAATGACAACGAGCAAGAAGCGTCGTCGTAAGTAGGAAGGAAGAAGTGACGAGACCCGAGTAGATAAAAGGGATAAAACGACCCCTGGAAATAAACACAGCCACACACCGTCTTACTGCAACTTCAATGTCAAGCTTGCAGGGTTACGTCGATAGCAAGTCCAAGCATTCTCTTTTTCATCTCGATAATAAATGATAATAATTTAGGGCGAGTCCTTCTGGTACTGCAAGACGGAAGAGCCATCGTCGGTGTCCTAGCTGGTTACGACCAAAAGTCAAATGTCGTCCTCAGCGATTCAAAAGAGAGGATCTATAGTATCGACGAAGGTGTAGAAGAGGTAGAACTAGGTCTCTACCTTGTTAAAGGCGATATGATGTGCGTGAGATCACTCAATTACAATACTGCTCTCACACTCTCATGCACAGTGTCCTCATCGGAGAGATTGACGAAGCAATCGATCGAGCAGTAGACCTTGCTTCCATACGCGCAGAGCCAATCCTACCTATTCGCTATTAGCGCCAGGCTGTAAGATACAAGGAAAACGACAATAAATCACCATGGGGCACCCATTCACGAAATGTATGTTTACAGTGTACATAAGCACGGTTGTGGACATACTGATCCCATGCATGTCCTATTTTATTTATCATCAAAGGTCGATAACTTTATACATAGCACCCTGTGCTTCCTGCAAATTCACTCATCCACGATCTCTGATCTGTCCGATTTTGAGTCGACGCTCACACATTCTACTAAATAAACATAGGTTCACATTTTCGGTTCCGCCTTTATAATAATCTCGATCGTTCAGTCTATCTTCCGCCTACACAACTTCCCCGCGATTCAACAGCGAACCCGAACCATCTCCTTCACCTCTTATAATCCGGATCCACCTCCCTGTTCCTCGAACAATATAGTCATCGTGCTCTAGCATGGCACACCATAGATAACGCGTCATGCATACCCATAACTACTGTATCCCACACGGAAGTTCAGTTAGGCTAAGTGTTGCTCCACCCCAAATTTCTCCGAAGTAAAACACGCATGCTTCAAGCTATAGTACCACTCACTGCTAATAATCATATCAGGTACCCATCCGTAACATGCAAATATCAACGTTCCTGCTACGTATTTCGGCGCGGAACTACAACCTTCTGATACGACTCAGTTCCTCAGTTAAGTTGGCCCACGCCATCAAGTTATCTCATGGTACGATGATCTTTGAATAGATCGACCTTGTTCTGGCGCTGGAATGACAGAGCTCACCTAACATCTGTCACAGTCTTGTTCGTCAGTAAATGGCATGAACTTTGTTCTCTTGTCCTACTTGAGCCAAGGACGTGCGCCTGTGCCTTCACTCTGTTAAACATCTGGACCCTGACCCTGAAATCGTGGCACCTACCAGTATTCTTTGTACCGTGATCTGGTGAGTTGGAGGGAAGTTTTGACCTCGATGTGTTAGTTTGGTTGGTTAGTGCTTCCCCCGAGTCGTTTCTGCGCGAATTGGGAATTGAAACAGGATTCGTCATTTTCAGTTAGGCTGCGGGCGAGCTCACCCTGATCCACCATGCAGGTTCCTTTGTTCCATACGAGAACTATCTTCCATACGAGGACTGTCTTCCATACAGGGACTGTCTTCTATCAGAACCTCGCTTCATTCTTTAAATGTGTGTGTCGTTCATGTTATTAAGCTTTGGATTTTTTTGGGTAGGCTATCTGGTTATCAAGTTCAACCATTTGAATTTCGGACCGTGATTGTGATGTTTTGAGACGTGTTAGATCCCTGGGCGCCTCGCAGTGTTATGATTACGATAGAGGGACTTTACATCATGCATACACGAGGTATACACTGACGCCGCTGCTTCCTGCTTCTTTGTGCCCTGTTATCACATGATTCATGATAAGACTGTCTGCTCAAGCGGCGGGGATTGATCGGGACGGACAATTGGCGAGACGAGCGGCGATGACTACATAGGTGTGGTTCCACTTGCCAGGCTGTTAGCAGGTATGTACTGGCCAGTCGTCCTTGATAGCGATTTGATAAAAAGATATATAAACGACAATCAGCTTGCAGACTCATGTTACAACAAGTATATCAAACGACGGAAGTTTCGCGCGAGGTATAGTATTGTCTTTTGATCCCTCCACACATAGTCTACTCATCTTTCGTGGGTGCTAAGGGCACTTCAACAAATTCCGCTGCCCCGAAAATATCTCTAATGCGAGGATCACCTGCCACCCTCGCGTAGTGTGCAAAGACATTCGGGTAGACTGCTCGTTCAGCAGCACCGAGAGTCACTCGGCCGGTACGTTGGATGACGGCAGCTATAACGATATCCGCCAGTGTAATCTCATCAGTGACAAGGAACTCGCGAACGCTGAGGTTTTGTTCAAGGAACTTGAGTGAGCGCTCTTGGCGTTCGAATATAGATTTATGGACCTGTAATCAAAATGCCGGTGTGAGCCATTGCAACTGAGTTCTGTGCGTGTAGAGAACAACTGACGCTTTCACTGTAGGCGTTCTCTGGGAAGAAGCGCTTTACCATCTGCCATATGTAGTCGCTGTACATGTTGATCTCGTGCTCTGCAAAGTGGATCCACTGATCGACTAGCGCAGCATCTTTGATACTGTTTCCAAGAAGCCTAGACTCAGGGGCCAGAGATGCAACTGATCATATAATGAGTAAGAATGGTATATATAACTTATGGGTACGAAGTGCAACACTGACCATAGCGTGCAATAGAGGCACCCTCTAGAAGAGTGAATCCATCCTCGCCCTCAAAGACAGGAATTTTTGCAAGAGGGAATTTGGTAATAAATTCAGGTGACTTGTTGGTGACGCCGAACTCGAAAGGCTTAACATCCAATTCGAGGCCTGCGATAGCAGCAGTGCTCAATATCTGCATCAATATTGTGTCAATCAATAGAACTCTGCACAAGAAACAGAACCAACATATTTGGTTTGACGTTGATAAGAAACACCCCAGAGAGAGCCGATTGGAGCCATTGAGATTGATAGAACGACTTTGAGAAGTGATGGAGGTTGTGAGTGACATTTCGTTCAGTACTCGACCTCTTATTTATACCCAGGTTGCTGCCGTCAGTGCAACAGTCATGAAATGATCAAAGGGTTTTCCGGGCGTCGGATTTCCCACAGTAGAGAACTTTGCTTGACGGTACCGATCGACGATGACCTGTTCGAGTCACCTACTGTTCCGAGCTCGAGTCACAACACGTGCGTCTTCGAAAATCAAAGGCTTACACCTTGACCTGTAGTCGCTCGCATAGTATCCTAGGGGCGAGACCAAATTTTGAAGTGAACGCAATAATACGAGTACTTGACAAATCAAGGATCATCGATCAGGACTGCCTTCAGATGATTCATCGTGAAAATGCTGTGCCACTGCTGCGGTGTGTATTATGTAACTACACTTACTGCTAAGCGCTAGTCGATAATCACTGAAACCTACCACTGAGTGCTGAGAGTGCTTATCGATAAAGTTTGGAGGGGCAAATACCGCAGCAGTCGCAGCAGTGGCACAGTATTTTCCTAGCGCTCAAGGATCAGGACTGCCTTTAGATGATTAAAAACTTTGTCAGATAATCGTGACAAAGCAAAAGACATGGGCGCTATGGCTATCTAGACTAATTAGTCAGTACGATTGGCTATCGACAGAAAAGCCGTACTAGTCTCCCTACGTTTCTGCCGAGGAAACCACCTCCTCGATCACCCACTCTTTTACCTCTTCTTACAATCCCAAACAAAGTCTCTCACCTGTTCCTCAAACCACTCTCTCTCCTTGCGCAACAGACCGTGTCCCCCATGCACATGAAGCACCATAATCGGACGGACCCCTTTGAATCCAATAGCATCCAACTCTACGTCATTCTTTCCCAGGTTCTCCTGTCCCGCAGCCTCCCTCCGGCTACTTATCATCGCTTTCAGCATCTTGAACGGGAATCTCAAGATAAAATCACCCTTGGCTACGAGCTTGAGTGTGGTGACACGTGGCCACAGGGAACAACTGGAGTCCTTGAAAGGTGCACCCAGGAGCACAAAAATGGCTTTCATACAAAGCGAGTCGCTGTTTGTGACCGTCACTGTATCGCCATCCCATGAAGGGGTCAGAGGCGCCATTTCCAAACTGTTGCCAAAGCACCCATCAAACTCTAGCGTATCTGACGAGGGCAACCTTCTGATATGCGGATCCTCCACGAATTCGCAGTCGCGAATAACGATCGTCTTGCAAATGGTCATCGACTATAGCCAAAACTTTCATGCACCCACGCACGACCACTTTCTCCGCCCCGATTTGGAGGTCTTCGCGTTTGATCTGTGAGATGGTCTGGAACGGAAATTGCAAGCCATCGATAATGAGGCAAGGTATTCTTCCTGGGACTGCATTCAGCGCTTTTGGAACATCGTCTGGTACTGAATATGAAGGGCCATAGCACGGAAGTTCATCTCCAAATGATAGCGTTACAGGACTCGACGTTTGTTAAATTGTTCTTGAGCCACTGGTGATCAAGACTGTGAGCTACTTTATGATCGATATGAAGGATTCTGAGGGTGGGACAGTCGAGTTTGAAAAGTGGTGGTAGGTGCTGGCGAGTTGTCCAACACCCCAAGATTTTCGGGCCCGTCACTTGTAAACACTCTAGTTGGGGCGCATGTCCTGCTAATGTGTCGCAATATTGTTTGATGTATAGGCCATAAAAGTTACGAATGCGCAAACTCTTCAGCTGTCCAATATGCAGAGCGATGAAGTTGAGGATACGAGGAACTTCCTTTTGCTTGAGATGGTTGTGCTTGTTGACTATAGTCAGATGAACTGGATAATCATGCGCCTTTTGAAGCTGAGAAGTCAGATCTGTCAAGGTCTGACGTCTGCTCTTATTCGGCATCACGCAAAAGATACGAGTCCAGAGCTCAGGTGCAGAAGAAATGATGTCTCGCCATTGTCTGCATACTGATGCCATAGTGTGAGGAAATGGCAAGCCTCCTGCTATAACCCGGTGCTCTGCTTCAGCAGTTGTCTTCATATCATCTTCGATGATGTCCTCCAGTGCAAACCTGAAGATGCTGCATAGTGTCTCTGAGGGAAGTAATTTGACGGAAGCGCGTGTTAGATTTTTTCTTGGCATTATGATCACTATATGAATGAGATGGACATCGAGAAAAAAGGAGCAATGAATGTACATACCTCGTCGATATGTAGCTTGGCCGCAGACAAGTTGAGTGGAGCCCCTAGGTTGGGAGTGGCAAGGAGCGGAATTTGAAAAATTGCAAGGTGCCGATGCATGCCGCTTTAAGCCGAAGTAGCATTGTACGATTTGTAATCCATCCTCAATGCAGAATCATTCGTTCGTGCTGTATACAACACGGCATACCTCTCAAATTGAGTAGCACATGTTCAGGAGCACTGAAATTGATGCTAGGGCACTAAAATGATATCTTATTCCGCACATTACAGCCTGCAGCATAGGCCTCATCAGTTACCTGAAGCTTTGGTTTGGAGTCTTGGACTGTCGACGACTTGACCCTTGCAGCCTCGGTGACAATGAAACAATTCTCGCCGTGCTCAAAATACTCCGTGGAATGTGGATGAGTGCGATGGATCTATTGCTGTTTCGTGGTGAGATATCATCTTGATTGAGTGGTATCATGATGATCTCCGAGCGTGCGCAGAAGATACCTACTCAGAAGTATCTTTAGCAACTGCAATATCTGTTATCATCGAGAGCGCCCTGACCATATCTGACAAGCCAGCCGCACTAGCAGCGCACATGTGTTCGAGTCGCACTGAACTAAGTTACAAGATTCAGGATCGCAAGGCACACTGATACGAGCTGCTAGGAGACATACTGCGGCTGGGGTATCTTGCGCGTCAATGGAACAAGAGTAGGTTCAATGTTCAACCTAGGCCAGCAATAGAATGCTGGCCTAGATAACAACGGTGTACGGGTGGTGTAACTGGGGACGTGCGAGTCGGTGGCGGGAGGATCATGATGTCTGAGGGAGCAGGAAAATAGGGAGGTCAGCATTTGCTAAATCACTTTCACATCTAGAGGACGATACGTGGTTGTCGATAATGACTGACTTGGTGCACAGATATATACTCCTATATCGCCACCTTTCACGATGACGAGCAAAGTTGCAATCGGTATAGAAGGCTAGGGGGAAGTGAAAGTTTCTTCTTGCCCGGTCGTCGAAGCCTCGCATAACATCCTCGTCTCTGTTCAATTTTGGAGACGCAGACGAAGAAAAATTATCATTTGACAATGTACTAGTCCTCCCGCGCGTACCTCGGACCCTCGTCGTTGCACATAAAGTTAGCACCCCAGGACGACCTCAGGCCAATTCATTCACTGTATTTCATTCGCACAGTTTCCTCTCTTCATTCCATTTTTCAGATAAGTTATCCGTTCTCAGACAATCGTCCAATCCAGCGCCTCGGAATTTCGGTTTGGGCAACACCTACCTCACCTGTGGCTTAGTCATTCATCACATTCAGCGACAAGCCGTTCTCGGCTCCATTTCAAATGATAAAACTGTAGCCGCGGGTAAGCCAGGCAGAAGAACTTCGCAGATATACTGACCAAGTCTAAAGTTCAGGACAAACCCTAGCCGGAGATCGGGAAGACACGGGTGAAGCGGAACTATTTCATTACATGACATCGAACTTCTCCTGCTCTCAGGAGCTCGATACAAGGAAGAAAAAGGTGCAGAAAGATGCTCAGGGTATCGTGCTTGATTGTTTTGCACTCTCCTTTGTTTTAATATAGCAGTCTTCTTTCACCTCATTGGCAGATTATCATTTACCTCCTTTTCTTTCGACAGAAATGTTGTATGTTTACGCGACTGTTAGCAGGCGCCAGAGTCAAAGAGTGTGGCAAATTTGGCGAGCCCCGTCAAGAGCGGAACAAGCTCATAGATAAGGTCAATTCATTCGAGTAACCTTGAATCTGAGAGGCTATTTTGCCTTCACATCCTAGGAGGTGCTGTTTATGTCTTATGCCAGCCTGGAAACGCTGCTTCTATTCTTGTGAGTTCGCGCCACACTGAGATCTTCGAACAGTGATTCTCGTTCTATCGGCAAAAATACCATTGCCACGAGGCCAGCCAGGTTAGGATTATCTTCACGGGTGCGTGCACGTACTTGGTACATACCGGAATCACAATATCTTTCTGAGATCCATTACCGTGTAGGTGGCCCCTTAGACTGTATAAGAAGCCACCAATCTTGGGGCAGAGTCTATCAATTACTGTCGCCCCATCTTTGCAATTTTGCGAGTCATGGCTAGTCCAACCGCCGCGTCCGAACCCAAAATACCATACCAAGAAACAAGTACTGCTATTGACATAGAACATGTTCCAGTTACCGACGACCCCCGTCAGTGGAGTCTTGCTAGAAAGGTGCGTGTATAACGCAATGCACTTTGTAATTAATTTGACCCTTACATCAATAGACGACAACCTTGTGCATTGTGTCGCTGGCTACAATGGTGTCTACGATAGCTTCTAACATTCAAAACCGTTCGTCGAATGTCTTTTCCTAATGAGTGGTTTAAAATTCATACTGTCTCGCAGCGTCGAACTCTCTGATAGAGGAGGCTCTGCATGCAACAAGCAATCAGATTAGCTGGACATTAGCGGCGTTCCCAATCGTACAAGGGAACCTTCCTCTATTATGGAGTGCCGCAAGCGAAATCAAAGGCCGTAAGGTTAGTGCAGGTGTACGCTTTTTGACCTGCTTGATGAACGCGCTAGATCATCATAGCCTGTCTATTTGGTGTCATCCGCCTTGTTTGTGGTAGGAAGTGCTGTCTTGGCATTTTCAAAGACTATTGAAGTGATGATCGTTATGCGAACACTTCAAGCTGCAGGGTGAGTACTTATGCAAAAGCTCGAGAATTGATTAATCCCCTCTCCTGCAGATCAAGCGCTGCCATTTCTATTTCAGCTGCGACTCTAGCTGATATCTACGACACTCACGAGCGAGGGACTAGGATGGGCATCTTCTATGCCGCACCTCTCTTAGGACCTGCCCTAGGCCCTATACTCGGCGGGTCGTTGTCACAGGTCTTCAACTGGCGCGCGAGTTTCTACTTCTTGTTAATTTGTGGAGTAGTCACCTTCTTGTCCTTCCTCATCCTGTTCAAGGACACATTTAGACATGAGCGAAGTCTCATGTATCGCTCTGCTTTCCAACGTCTAGCTGCCTCCAAAGAACCCGTCCAGAGTTCAAACGAATCTATCAGCACCACGCAAGACTCCAGCATACCTGTCAGGGACATCGAAAAACAGCCTCAGCCTCAATACGCTCCAGACGCGACCCCAGTGCTGATTCCTACTCCAGGGCTGGAGAATTTGAGATTATCAATACATGATATCAACCCCTTTCCACCATACTTTCGAATATTGTCGCGAAAGAACAACGTTTTCATTCTCATCGCTAATGGTGAGTGAAGATCTGATCTCTCCATGTTGTAACTTAATAACGTCACTTTGTGATAAGGCCTCATCTACGGATTCAGCTATTGCCTTTCATACACGTGTGCCCGCACTCTTGCCAATAAATATGGTTACCATGCGTTCGACACTGGCTTTGTCTTGCTTTGCCTGGGCATAGGTGGGATATTCACCCCCTGGATTATGGCAGGTGGCTAATTTTCTATGAAGGAAGTATCGCTGGGAGTGTGATTGGTGGCCATTGGTCCGACCGGGTGCTTGCGAGAAAGAAAGCAGCGAGCGGAGGAAAGTGGTCCGCAGAAGTAATTCTTTTCTACACTTCAACACTAGCACCCTCGTTTGACGTCTTTCCAAGATGCGCCTAGAAAGTTCGAAACTAGCGATGCTGTGGTTACCTCCGTCCGTTGTCGGTTATGCCTGGGTGTGCGAAAAGCACGTCAATGTCGCCGTCATTTGCATCATGCTAGTTCTTATTGGATTCACCTCCATGTTTGTGAACCAATTATTTATTATTGTGATTGCCCTGACATCTACTTTCAGATGGATGTATAGCAGTACGTTAGCATACCTCGTTGACGCTAACCCAGGTCGCTCGAGCACAGCGGTTGCCACAAACAGCTCGTTCCGAGGATTTCTTGCTTTTCTTTCGATTATGACCGCCGTACCGCTTCAAGTGAGGTTCCTTGATTTGCTGTATCCCACACATGCTGATGCTAGTTTGTTCCCTGTGTAGGATGCTTTAGGAGATGGGGGATTATATACGGCGTGGGCTGGTATCTTGGTTGTGATGGAGTTGATGGTTATGTTGGTGCTACACAAGGGAGAATTGTGGCGTAGGGAAAGTGAGGAGCGTGAGCGTGAAATACTACGTGAATAAATCATCACGATCAGATTTACTAGAAAGATGTGCTGACATTAGAGGCTGAATTGACACTATGTTATATACATTGTCAGGGGGTGATTACATTTTAAACCGAGAATGTTTATGAGTAACCGATTATCCGCAAAGTACTCGCGGAAGAACACAGATGAACGATGAGCATCAGGGGTATATAGTCCAAACGTGAGCACCTACCTACGTTAGTAAGGTGATGCTCGAATATTGCGGGGTCGGCATCTGATAGTCATGATGAGGGGGAAAATGCAAGGCTGAAGACTTGAGTCGTGAGTGACCCGAAGAGTTGTTAGGGATCCGAACTCATATTAATTACAATTTTACAACCCTTATTCTTGCCACCATCGCAATTAATGACATTTTACTGATCTGATCCCTGCGGGACCTAACGCAATAAAGCTACCTTAACTTTCTGTTGTGATGCCACCACTTTCAGTGGCACCTCCTCTCCGTTTCGAGATACCATGGCCGATGGGCAGGCTGTATCAAAGGACTGGTGAGAAAGTTATACACCATTACATGACAAATTGAATATGCGGGGAACGATTCATCGCGCTAAAAGTGATATAAAGTGATGTATTACGACGTACTACTAGTGGCCCGGATCAGTGAATTCTCGACAATATACTGCCTTACATATCATTTTCATCTGTTCACCGTCGGTTCACTTATTAGTAAAGGCCGAATTCAACGTAACGCACCCTTCGAAGGACTCATCGGCTCTCTGATGTCGGACGGGTTTTGTCCTTCACCCATTGTTATATGTACGACTAGCCGTGCGATCACTTCATCATTGCGTTATTGGTTTGATCACATACTAGTATAGTTTCGACCTGGTGAAAATCTCATTGATTGCCGAAGATGCCAAGGCGCGCGATGAATATCCGAAATGTTGCCCACTTTCACACTGGCAAGTATGGCCGAGATTTGCTCACGAGGAAGAGCTTGTTCGAAGTTGAGAACAGGAGGTGCTATGGTATTGAGACAGTGTCAAGGGGAAAGGCATTTTGAAAAACGGATCAAGCGAATCGTATGAATCACTGGATTATAGTATGCCTGACAGTGCAAAATGAGGTACGCAGTACACAGACTCGAACATGACAGTATAGTGACGTACCCTGCTTGTTAGAGTTTGAAGACAGCGGTACCGCGCTCAAGGGAGCCAACCTCTGGGGTCGCAGACCATTTCACGCATCTATTCAACGCATTATCGAGATGCTTCGCGCAACTGGTCGGGGCCTTAGATTGTATTTGATGATAGGCGGGCACCCCCTGGCAGGCATGTGGACACTGCTTCGTAGGGACTTGGTTTCTGTGACATGCACTGCGGAGAAACGGACATGAGCATAGATCAGCATTTGGCCAGGTGGAGAGTACATCTGTTTGCTTGTCTGCCTGATCTGGAGTGTCCAAAGGCTATTGAAGGTTGGAGTGTCGATGCATCGTGCTGGATTCGCGAGAGTCATTCACTCGACGTTGATTGGGAATTACGTTGGGACGGTATGCCTCGATGCATATAGTAAGATGTCGGGTGGGAAGTGAACGCTTGGTGTGTTTGATCATGAGCACTTGCATTTCGTTTATGAATTCCATCGCTCCTTCGCGGTATCCCTCCTGCAATCCCTCCTAACTCACCCCACACCAACCATGCTTCGTACGATGTCCAATGATCTAAGTCTGTCGCCCACCGGGATTCAAAACAAATGGGCATCGCGAATACTTATTCGCATAGAATGATAGAAAGACATGTGCTTTCCCGTTCTGCCCCCCGGCACTTACCTGATGAAGCTTGGCAGAAGCGGCTTGGCACATCAATGCCTTGCGTTTGCTATTCGAATTTGTATTAGTTCATGAGAAGTGCTCGAGGAATCGGAACACAAAACCGAGTTTCAGAAATGGGCTCATTTCCGTTGTTCGACATAGAAGTTTCAGAACTGTTTTACTTTTTTGGGTGGCAGTGGGTCACTGGTCACTCGGCGTAGTCGGCCGATCGGCTTCGCTCCATCGAGCCTCCTAGTACTCGCTTAACGTTTGCACACTGGTGACTGGAGAGACCTGAGCTGCCAATTGGCTTCAGTTGCTCATGACGGTCAAAAAAACTGCCACATACTATTGGGGTCAGTGAAAGTCTCGATCGGTCTGAGTGTAAGGTTAATGAGCTCGGCACTTCAGCCAACCGGTAAGTTGTATTAAAGGAAGATATGCGACTGGTCGCTCCTTCATTATTATGAGAACCAGTGCGCATTCATAGATAAGTCAGAATAGTTAGTCCACATGCACAATTTTCTCTCAGCCCGTGATGACACAGCGACTGATGAAGGAAGTTCATAATACTCGCCTCAAATTCGCCTTGAAGCACATTATTCGGCACTGCCATCTTCTCGCAGAACGTTCCCGGACCGGCCTTTGGTGGTTAGCACTCGCCTATAGATCTTTTTGAAGCGAAATCGTTTTGAATCTGAGCCCATATGTTCATGACTTAATGCATGTCGTAATAAGAGCTAGATGTGGTTCCCAACAGGGTAGAAAACACATGGGAAACATAGGTTTCGCAGTGGCGAAGACCTCAGCCACCGCTCGGTAAACACATTTCCTTCGCCGCCCTCGGCCCCTCGCGCATACCTATTCCGCGCTCAGGCTGTTCCGCCATGTCACTCTCTTCGATGCTCATCGATGCATCGCCGAGCTACCCGTCCAATACTCAATATCGGCATCCCCGACTCTAGGTGCTGCCAGCTCTGACGCTGCCAACAGAAACCGCCGCTGCTCCGAATTCTACTCCCAACCCCTCTGCGCACTTTTGCTTTCGACAGCCTACGTAGCATCAGTACTGACGGATGGATCCCTACTGCATTCAACGCACCGACGCTTATGATTGGGCGCATTCATTTGGGCAGCATTTCCCTGTACACCGATGGGCTTCCTCACCCCTGTATCTTACCCTCTTCCATGCAGAACTTGTGTGGTGTAGCCTCTCCTGGATACTTTATATATTTCAATCATGAACCAACTCAAAGTTTCGTATGATTGGTTTACTGAACGAGATGAGGATGCAATATACAAATCATGAACACCAGAACATGTATGCAGACAGTAGGGTAGCATGTACGAGATGAGATCAAAAAAATCCAGGCTGCAGTGGAAATCACTAAAGAAAGGATACGAAGGTGTCAGGTAGTGACGACTGATGGATAGAGACGAGGCAAAGGATTTCGACGACGAGCGCAAAGGGGGGCATGCGCTGCTCTGTGGCCCGAGGCGACGACATAGCTAAGCCTTTCTCCGACAGAGTTTACGGGGTCCAACCTTTACTAAATAACGTAAGTCGATTCTCGAAGAGTCGATCTATTTCGGATGCTAACAGGTCACAACATCACCACCAGTACTCCCGTAGCGAGTAACTTCAAGACAAACCTCGCAAAATCATGTGAATACTGACACAGCCTCGTCATTCCACCTAACCAACCTCAGTCTACTATGCGTTCGCTTAGGCTTTTTACTTCATCTCATCACTAATCAGATCATCCAAGTTCGATCTCACATAATAGTATCGCCCGACCCAGATCAGTGACGGTCTCTCGATTCGGGCTCGACACTGATTGAGCAAACGTTGGACCACCTGAACTGTTATCCCCTTTGGTTTCATTTTTTTTCCTGTCAGTGGCGACTCACTCTTCTCGTCCCATTTCATATTTTGATGCATCCATTATTGTAGCCACGGTCTGGCTATTCGGAACACTCGACTCGAAACCCAAGGCGGAAAATATACAGGCAGAGTTACCTGTCAAATCCTCTTAATAATGATGAAATTACATCCGCACCGCACCGAGGAGCTCGATCATATACAAGGAAGAAAAACTGTGTAGAAAGATATGACACAGGGTACGTGCTCGGTTGCCAATCTTCACTATAATCCCCAAGTCACAGATTATTGTTTATGGCATACCCTTTCTCTTTTCCCCGAATGCTGTATGTTTATGATGTAATATGTAATTGACAACTTCATCTGCCGGAGCCAGCTGATTTTGGTAACCACTGCAAGCTATACTGCTAGTATGCACGAGGTCAAGAGCATTGATATTAATAAAACTCATAGGTTTAGATAGGGTTAATTCATCCGAATGACCTGACCCATGGGCACCATGCCAGTATGGGGTCGCCGGACAAGGTTTATCTGACTGACTCAACTTGAAACCTAAAAGCTCGAGCTTCCAATGGAACAGAATAGATCGATTGATGCAGACTCACGTACGGCAGAAGGAATTAATTTGCGTCCTTCGGAACAGGGAGCAACTTCATCCGGAATGATCTCTGACATATGTGACCGTTAGTAGCCGGGGTTATTATCGTCATCGCAGTCACGGAAAAGTGCTTACACGTACTCGGCCCGTACCGGTATTGCAACATCCTTCGGAGAGCTTAAGCTCACCTTGTCACGGTCATTAGTGACTGTATAAAAGGCCATGCATCTTGGGTCAGAGCCCACAACTCCCCCGCCGCGTCCTTTCGATCTTTGACTCATGGCTAGTCCAACTGTTCCCGACGCACCTTCCGTGCCGGAACCCACCACGTTGCGCCAAGACGCTGATGTCGAGTCGTCTGTAGGCACAACTAGTTCAACCGACATAGAACATGCCGCGGTAAGTGACGACCCTCGTCAGTGGAGTTATGCTAGAAAAGTACGTGTATCTTACCATGCACTTTGTGACTATCCTGAAGCTCTACAATCTGTAGACCACAACTTTGTGCATCGTGTCACTGGCTACAATGGTGTCTGCATCAGCTTCTAACATTCAAAATCGTTCGTCACATGGCTTTTCATGATGAATGGTTTGATATTGATATTTTTTTTGCAGCTTCGAATTCATTGATAGAAGCAAATCTAAATGCGACAAGCAGCCAGATTAGTTGGACATTGGCGGCGTTCCTAATCATACAGGGGAACTTTCCTCTAATATGGAGCGCCGCAAGTGAGATCAAAGGTCGTAAGGTTGGTCTATGATAGGCACATCTCCCTTGATCTGCTTAATGAATACAATTTTTGTTTATCACAGCCTGTCTATTTGATGGCTTCGGCTTTATTCATGGTAGGAAGTGCTGCGTTAGCGCTTTGCCAGACCATCGATGTGATGATCGGCATGCGAGCAGTTCAGGCTGCGGGGTGAGCATTCAGGCAAAAAGCTTAGTCGTTGATTGACACCCTCTTTTGCAGATCATGCGCTGTCATGGCTATTTCAGCTGCGACCCTGGCTGATATATATGACACTCATGAACGAGGGACCATGATGGGCGTGTTCTTTGCTGCGCCTCTCTTAGGACCTGCAATCGGCCCCATACTCGGTGGTTCATTGTCACAAGCTTTCGGTTGGCGCGCAAGCTTCTACTTCCTGCTGATCTGTGAAGTCGTCATCTTTATGTCCTTCCTCATCCTGTTCAAGGACACATACCGACGTGAACGGAGCCTCACCTATTGCTCTGCTTTACAACGGCTTATTACCTCCAAAGAACTCATTCAGAGTCCGAACGGATCTATCATCGACGGTCACGAATCCGGCAAGGACCAAACACAAACCGAGGACGTCGAGAAACAGCTCCAAACGCCAACTGTTACAGACAATACCTCAGTGATAACCTCTACGCCAGGGCTAGACGATGTTAAACTATCGATAAGGGACATAAACCCATTTCCACCGTACTTTCGAATCCTGTCGCGAAAGAACAATGTTGTCATTCTTATCGCTAATGGTGAGTGAAGTGTTGACCTCCTGTAAACGTTGTTATTGACTTTACTTCGGGATAAGGGCTCGTCTTCGGATTTACATATTGTCTTTCATACACGTGCTCTCGTACTCTCGCCAATACATATGGTTATAAAGCATTTCCCATTGGCTTGGTTTTACTTTGCTTGGGTATAGGTGAGGCAATTCCCACACCGTGGATTGTGACCAGATGGCTAATTTCCTATGAAGGAAGTATCTTTGGGAGCGTGCTTAGTGGGCGTTGGTCCGATCGCGTGCTTGCGAAGATGACGGAAGCGAACGGAGGAAAGTGGGAAGCAGAGGTAAATATTTTTTTATACTCCCGCACTAGAACTATTCACTGATATCTTTCGAAGATGCGCTTAGAGAGCTCGAAACTGGCGATGCTGTGGCTACCTCCATTCGTCGTCGGTTATGCTTGGGTATGCGAAAAGCATGTCAATGTCGCCGTCATTTGCATCTTGCTCGTGCTTATCGGATTCTCCTCCATGTCGGTAGACCAATTATTCACACTCGTAGTTGCGCTGACATATTTCCAGATGGATGTATACCAGCACATTAGCATACCTCGTTGATGCTAACCCTGGTCGCTCATGTCCAGCGGTGGCGACCAACAGCTCATTCAGAGGATCCATAGCTTTTGTTTCGGTTTTGGTTGCTGTACCTCTACAAGTGAGTTTCCTTAATGCCCGTTGTAATTCACAAATTCTGATGCCAGCTCGGCAGGATGCTTTAGGAGATGGGGGACTGTATACGGCATGGGCTGGCGTCTTGGTTGGGATGGAGTTGCTCGTTTTATTGGTGCTACACAAGGGTGAATCATGGCGCAGGGAAAGCGAGGAGCGCGAGTTGAAGTCAGGGAATTAGAGGGTCCTTATTCTTATCAGTAAGACGGGTGTTTCATAGGGTTCGATAATTAAATAAAGCGAGGAAATCAAGTCTGTAATATTATATCATGTAGACACCATGTATTTGCATAGAATTTACTTCACCAGTTTCGACTACATACTAATATTATATGCATCAGAAATTTTTTGGAGGGTTATTGAACTTTGCGACGTGATTGATGAAGGGAGGTGTACCTGGTAGAGGTGATGGTGAGGCTAGTCGTATATAACTTCGCATTATCCAAGGACTGTCGAGATTCGATGATGATAGCCGGTGACGAAGCTAGAACTGAAAAAGCCGAAAAAGAGAACAGCTGACAGTATGAAACTCGTTTCCGCAGTAGATGCGCTTCCATTGAAATCCTCCCCAACTTAGTCTGAGTTTTTGAGAAAAGACACAATGTCGACTACTACCCATTCTTCTAAAATCAGAGGGGGAGGCGGTGCACTGCAGGTCAATGTGCCATCTAATGATTCTTGTAAGTGATGATCTGAGTCTTAGTAATATATCCGGTAACCGGTTGGGCCTGCTTCGAACGCCATGCTTATCCACTGGCAAGCCTGTCAATCACCGAGTGTTCCTTCCATCATCAACTTGAACATCTCAAGCTTCAAGCCCGACTCGTGATACTAGTGCCACCCAGTCTCGCCAGCCGCGTCAAATATTAACGAGGAGTAGGCTCGAGCGGAGACTCAGCTCGCTAATCGAGTAGACCACAAAAATCCAAAACATCCTTCAAAATAACTTGGACGTCTCTCGGGAGTCACGGCGCTATGTGCCCTTGCAAATGGGCTGAAGTCGGATGCGCCGGCTATGCAAGTTAGCGCTTTGTACCCCAGAAAGAGCACGGGCGCCGTGTGCGTGTGCAATGCCGCAGTATGATGATGGCGTCTCAACTTTGAGCGTTGCTACTGACCTTCATGATGACACCCCAATTCCTCGCCCATATTCTCAGAACATTTCAGAAATGGCTTTTACGGCTTTCTCGTCATTATACGAGTTCACTATCTGTTTTGTTGTCTTTACTCCGTCGATTTGCTACGTGCCGTTCAAAGCCCAGAGTTAGGAGGTCGACCACCCAATCTCATCTTTCCCGGGGAGCTCTTCCGCAACTTCTCGGAATGGACATCCCAAAAGAGGATCCATATACTTGTTCCAGTCTTTTGCCTGCTAGTGAGATACAGGAAGTTGCAAGAGAGCCTCCATCTCCTTCAGATTTCCCTTTCGAAACGAGTCCTCGAACCTCACGACGTATAGTACGAGATAATACGTCGAGGTCTTTGCCGGAGGCAACGATAGAATATCCAGGTGCCGTTGGGACGAACAACCATGACTCCAGGTCAAGTCTGATTCTGAGTGTGGGAGAGAGTCCGACGAAATACGCAACTTATACGAAACGCGTTCGTGCCCGCCGAGTCACGATCTACAATTCCGTCGCAAATATCCACCGTAGATCTACGGAACCTATTGCTGTTCCGCTGGATTTGTCTAATCAGACAACGCCAGTATCTGATCCAGTTATAGGCGGTCATAACATTGCTTCGCCCTACAGCGACGAGCGATTGGGTCCAGAGCCAGTAGGCCCAGATGACGGCCCGCCGATAGGCCTCTTGGTTGCAGAGGAAGTTGGGCGGTGTGAAAAGTATACACCAAGGTCAATAGTGATAATCTCCTACATTAATCGTATTGCAGGGCTGAAGTTGTTCAAAGGAGTTCTTTACCGTCCCAAATCACTGTTCCTGCCATGACAGTGAAATTTCCCATGCACGAGTAAGCTATGTTGTCATCATTTATTACATCACCTGAAATATTTCAAGCACTGCTGTACCTCCAGGATGGACTACACTCGTGCATCCGCAAGGTTCTCGCTACTTTGTGAACGTAAAAAGAGTGTGTGAAGTTCATGTGTTATTAGACGCTGATGATCTGAGTCACAGGTACAATCAACAGCGAACATTCACACAGATGAATATTTGCGACGAAACAATATACAGTGACATAAGACACTTCATGGATTACTTGCTGCGTTCACTCCGTGATGAAAGCGAGCACCTTGAGCTGGACATGGCGCAGGTAGACCTTGTGATCGAGCCGAAGGTTTCCACCGATGCCGACAAAGTGGTTTGTTGCTATTATTTCGCCAACCACCGTGATAGATGCCTCTTCTGGTTGGATGAGTACAGTACCGAGGATATTCTCTCCGAATGTAACGGCGTCGAGAATCTTTCACACATACGTGCGTAGTCAATGGTTTTTCGTGTCTCTGTGTTTGACGATTCGTCCTGGTTTTTGTATTCAGGGCTTGCCATCCAAGCGCAATATTGGTGTGTTCTGTTGGTTCTAGATTCGTGCAAGTAAACTGACATACTCCATAGGAAACATTGCGACTACTTCCCTTGCCTGTGCCCAATTACACAAAAGCTTGTTGATGAGGTGAAAGATATGTTGATATATGCCGAATGTGGTTAGTACTTTCTTGCACCTTGGTAAACGCGATTTAATTCTCAGGTTGCAATCAACAGACCACCTAACCTCCCGCCACTCTACTGCGCCGTTCGATGTTATCGAAACTAGAGACTACATCTCTCTCATAGATAAGATCAAGGGTGCGTTACGTTGATACATTCTCATGGAATCTTGTGTGCTTATGCTATTTTCCTCAAGTCCATCCTCCTGCGGATCAAAACATGCAACAATGTCACGCTGCCATTGTTATTGGTGATTAACATTAAGCTCGGTCTCATCTTGATATTGACTATTTTTAAGGCCGAATCATGTATGCATTCAGTCAGTGCTCTCTTATTGGTCTTGCTAGCTGTCATTTATAGAGATTTTTAAGGTCGCAATCACTTCATTAACTCTCATGGGGAGAACTGTGTGAGATTAGCCTTTGAACAAACAGTCCATCCATACGCACCGTCGTTGTTGATAGTCATGGTTGCACCCTTTTTGTTTTTGGACCCTATGGCTCTAGTTCGAGAACTGCACACGATATTTGTTGATAACACGCCTTCCTCAGAGCGGTGGAATACATTCAATTTAAACCTGAATGGCCAACTTCAGGACTCCACTCTTCTGGTAAATCCACCTGTTCATTGTCGTGTCGTGCGTGCGACTGATATTGAACTAGGCTACTGTCTTACTCAATGCCAATGTTGGGTTTCTCGCTATCAGCAGCGTTGATACGGGCGGTAGATCTCCTGTCCAGGTGGCGAGCTACATGTCTCTTGTGTCAAGCTTGGGAAGTATGATTCTTGGGTTGTTACTTGTTTCGCATAATCGAACCATGGGCCAATTGGGCACGGTCCTCCAAACGGTCAGTAACTACAAATAATGATCGCGATGATTCTCATAGCAAATAATTCAGGAAATTTTCCTATCACAACTCGGCGAGAAAGAACGCAGACTCGAAAGGCTGGCCATAATCTACAGCCTTCCGAAAACATTGCTTATGTGGGGGTGAGTCTCCATCCTGATATACTAGATGGATGCCGTTACTCAACTATGTTAGCATGATCTTCTTCTTTGCCGCATTCTCCGTCCATTGGTGGAATCCTGGAGATCAAACTACCAGAGCCGTCGTTGGTTCTGTGATAATTCTCGCATTTGTAATGATCTTGTATGGCATCATGAGAGCCAAGTACGGAGGAGATCGCTGGTGGCGACTGCCAATACTGCTACTCGCAAGATTTGGTCTGAAATACCAATTCATCTAGCTGACGCTGGGAAGCAAGTCATGGTATTCATGGGGATGAGAAAAGCTCTCATTGTCCAAGATCCTTCGTCAGAGACTGGAAGGGACGGTCTCGCTCCACCGAACATTCATGCATGCCACTCTCAAACAAATGCTGAGGTAGATGCTCCAGGGTACATCGCCTCCCATCCAACAAATCCACTTCCCGAAGTATCCAGTCCAGATGATTATGAACACCACCCCAACTTTTCTATCCCCCCAACTCCATCCCAACCCACCGCTTCCGTGGATCCACCTCTACAACCGCATGACGGTATTTCCGTGCTTCCACCATCAGATCTGCACATCAGCCCAGGCGGTTTGCCAGGCGTTGGCTCGTTGCAACAGATTCGAGAGATCCAGTTTATATTCCGGTCTACTGCAGAGACTCGCTATGAACCTGATACTACACCCTTCGGCGTGCCTGGTGCAAGGGAGGTTGTGAACTACACCACGAATATAGTCGAGGAGCCAGAGGGATTAGAACATTCTCAACCTTCACCAAGCTAGACTAGTCTGAGCGGGCTACTAATCCACAGGTAGCCGATGAGCATTGCCAGTCGGAAGTGTACCATAGTAAAACTATGTGCTTATATAGAAGACTTTTTACCAATGCTGAACGTCCTGGCGCCATATCCTTGACTGCAGAGCCCCTGAATGCCTGATCCTAACTCGTAAAATACAAGTACACACAGCACATTCTCAATATACGATGAGACTGGTTGAGGTGACTATGCGGTCGGGGGGTTCAAGCTAAGAGTTATACTACTTTACGTTCCTCGGCAGTAAATAAGTTACAGTGCAGACATATACTGCTGGTACCATAGGTTGTTCGTGAAAAGCCAAAAAGGGTCCTAGCTCCACCTGCCCTCTTAAGCAAGTGAAGAGTAATTGTGTAAGCGAACGAGTAGACAGAATCACCAGAAGCATTTCCAGCTTGTCTAGAAGTCACAGTGATGCACTCGACAATGATGATGATAGCAGATGATAACATGTTCGACCGCGGATATATCTACGTGCGAGTGACCACTTCCAGGATGGCATGAACAACTGCAGCAGGGTCGATCTGAACTTCTTGAGCAGGGTCGCTCCCTGGAGCAACAGGCGGAAGACTGTCAGTTTCGAACCGCCTATGAATGGATGAAATGAGGCATCGGAGAAGAGAGATAAAGGCAGAGCGTACCGATCATTCCACCAGGCGATGTAGTGGATGCCTAAGGAACGGACCGCTGTTTCTGCGTCGCGAGTGAAGACGTCAGTGGGAAAAAATTCCATGAGAGCTGAGCGTTCCGATGGTCTCACGAACACGCTGTCAGCGAGGCTATCTCCGTAAACACCCAGAATGACCTTCATGCAAGTCAGTTGCAGCGCAATACCTTTAGAAGTGAAGCAGGCTTACATTAGACCTGGCGACGGCCGTTAATCGTTCTGCCCAGTGTCCCTCCGAAGAGACTATGTTGACCTCGAAGTCGTTGCTTTCGTGCAACGTTTCAAGAGCGTTGACCAGCGCGTTGTGGTCGGCACTCCTCAACCTTGACCCGTTTATGGCATCTTGTCGAGATATGTAAGTGACTGTCGTTTTTTTCTGTTCGCTGTTGAGGTTTTGTGTATTGTAGTTTACATGCAAGAACTTGGCGAGATTCTGCCTGATTGGCTCCCACCAGTCCTGTGACGCATCCAGGCCAATAAGCGGGAGGGCAAATGGAGGCATATCGTTTGCCGAACGTGCAGCTGCACCAAAATCAGCAACGACCACCCTCTCGAAAACGAAAGGCATTTCCATTAGAGCATAATCTTCCCAGTCTTCTTTATACATCAACCCGAGCAATGGAAAGGCGGCCTTGGGAAGATATGGGTGAAAACCACTGTCTGAACGTTGACGTCTAATGATGGGACCGTTGAGGTCGGGTCGTATTCCTATGTAAGTAGGAATGTTCGGGAAAAACAGTCGTCGTGGCGGATGGAAAGGGTCCAGAGACGTTGACGTGTTCAGGGAACTGTGGGTCTTCCAGAGCGAGAAAAGTGTGTAGTTGCCTAGATATGTTATATGAGGACACGACTCATGAAAATGCAAGTGTTGACAAACTCGGAATAGCGTCATAAGATAGCCAACTCGTGCCTTGAATCCTGGACGACGTTAAGAGTGGTTAGAATAGTACATGTGCGACACTCACAATCCACCATATGAACCAAGTATGTCTCTGGCTTGCTCAATCGACAACACGACCCATTCTACTGGAAGCGGAGCCTCATGCGAGTTGCCAGCAGACGATGCAATGGAATCCAACGAAGGGAAGCTTGAAGGAGAATCCGTCACAATGAAAATTGTGCCATTGCACATTATTACATTGTCCATGATTGAGAACCCTACAGGGGTTGCGACAGGTAATATCATTAGTGACACATCCATGAGCAATTGCAGCACACCTACCAGCGACGTGTTTCACTATTCGAGTTTCAGGCATGTCTTTGCCCCAGTGCATGAAGCCATCATTAACACCGATGTTTCCGAAGATGACTTGTTTCTGTGCCTCAGATACACGTTCGCTCTTTAGCCATATGTCTCCTTCCGAGGCATATTCCTTTTCTTGCTGCTTATGAACGCTGGATATGCGTCTGTCGTCGGACACCCAGTCCCCATATATGTCCATGTCAAGACCACCATCCACGGTGGGATTTGAGGATATGCCAGGAAGATTAGAATTTGTAAAGAAGTCAGAAGTAGCTTCGAAGTTGTAGAAGACCAAAAAAATCATGATAGAGAAAAGAACGAGTGTAATTTCCCGCCGACTGAGAGCGTAGGGCCGAGCCATTGTTTCAGCTCAAGCCTGTGTTGAACGTTGAAATCTGAGCCGTCCTGTCGAGCGAGTGGAGATAAGTAGTACTACCCTGTAAATCCAACAAGTACAAACACACATCGTCTGACGTCAATGGATGGCCAGACCAGTCATGACTGTATTCGCTATGTAAGTACCAAAGATTACATCTGAAACACAACCGCATATATATGATACTACAAGAAGATCGAATGTAATAAAAAGGTGTATAAAGGTAAGATGCACAAAAATTTACGCCTCCTGGCTTGCACCCTCCTTCTTGCCTTTGCTGTAAATGACGTCAGCTCTGAATAAACAGACATGCAACACGGAGCATACCTTGCTTTGCTAGGAAGTAGTTCAGGGTTGATGAAGGGGACCACTCCTCCTTGTGAGATAACTACGTCACCCAGGAGCTTGTTCAATCTAAGCGACATCAGAGTTACCGAACCTTTGAGATAGGAAAACAACTCACTCTTCATCGTTTCGGATAGCCAACTGAAGATGACGGGGCACAATACGTTGTTTCTGTGGTGATCATCAGCTTATGGCCTTCAAGAGACAGAAGGACCACCAACCTTATTATCACGGGCGGCATTGCCTGCAAGCTCGAGAATCTCAGCAGCCAGGTACTCAAGAACCGCGGCAAGGTAGACTGGAAATATTCTGTGAGACCAGGCAGGCTTATCTGAGAGATACTCGACTTACCTGGAGCTCCTGCACCAACACGTTGGGCATAGTTGCCTTTCTTCAAAAGACGATGGACACGGCCGACAGGAAACTGAAGGCCAGCCTTCGCGGAACGCGACTGTGACTTTCCTTCGCTACCAGATTTTCCGCCGGAAGATTTGCCAGCCTTTCCTGTATCGTACACCACCGTGTTAAACTTGAGGCGACCAAAATTCCCAAGTCCACTGACCCTTGCCAGACTGTAAAGTAACACATATTAAACTGTGCTCCAATTGATATTAAAGAAGGACATACCATTGATAGCGCTAGTTGAGTCGGGCGACTATTAGATTGGTGGTGGTTTGTGATAAAGGGATGATAATCAACAAACGGACTCGGAGACGCGACTTCCCGTTTATATATCTTCACGTGATATAGAACCCTTACTTCCTAATTAAGAATTTTTACTTTTCACCAAAATGCTTGTCCGCGCACTTGCCCATGCACGGTGGCAAGAAACAACTACCTTGCGCACATTTATTCAGCATCCAGGATATACAAGGAATTTGACCTCTGGAACTGATGGATCTGCAGAAAAAAGGCCCTCAGCGAAGGCAACTCCCGATGAGTTGGCAGTCTTACCGTTTCTGCAGCACCCGCTCGGTGTGAAGGAGAAACCTTCGCCTGTCCTGAAAACATGGGCGGACACAAGGGAGGAGCTGATGAATCAGGAGACGCGCCTGGCACAAAGAGAACATCTGTGAGTTGTCTACAGTTGATTTGATACGGAGTTGTTTTGACTGCTTGCAAGGGTGAAAGAAGCCACCAAGGGCTATTTTACTGACCTCAATGCAACGAGGAGGCACGGTGGTAAGACGTGGATAGCACCTAATGTGATGATCCGCGAGGACGTATGTTCCATAATTTTTCACGATGGCAAGGAGACTGACAACGTACTCAGAAAGCACTTTATTTCCCCAACATTGTCGGATCAAGCTTGGATACGAAATCTAAGAAACATACCACCAGCATGTGTGAAGGTCGTATCTCCGTTATATCTATGTTGTCCACAAGGATGTCAGAGGTACGTTCATATCTCCTTAACTTTTTTGCGGCACTCAGTATGCTTAGATACACGTGAATGGTTTCACGACACCAACAAATGAGAGGTATCTCTCGAACCCCCTGTACCAATATGTGCAGATAAACTTGCAAGAAAATCTTCTAAAGTCCTTTCTCGTATCGCTATTTCTTTCATCAATAGCGAAGTCGGTCCCCAAAGAACTACATTCGACATACTTGGTGTCGAGTCAAAACATGGAGTTTGTGCGCGAGCACCTTGGTATGGTAAATAAACACATCGGGTACGTTTACCTTGTGGATGACAACCTCAAGGTTAGATGGGCTGGCTGCGCAGATGCCAAGGTAGAGGAAACGAACGCACTTGAACAATGTACGGGAGTACTGTTAAGCAGGCTAAACAAGAAAAGATCTGCCAAAGCTCCACGATAGTTCTATGATAGTACCATGCAAGCAAATCGTGTCAAGCACTTATTCGTAGTTTAAATTACAGCATGTCTTGACTGACTTATAAATTTGTTTGTTGGAGACTTTCTTCTGCAAGCCATAAAGTTGTTTGTCCGTGTTGGCTACGTGTCCTGTTGTGACGAAATCCTTTCCGACACTTGTTGCGACTTACAATTCTCAAGTCGATCGAATTTCACGCCAATGGCTTCTCCTTCTCAGCAGCTTCCCCCTGGTTGGACAGCGGAATGGTACCAGATTCGTCAGCTCTGATTTTCTGCACTTTTATTGACGAAAAACTTGTAGGGATCCTGCTAGCCAAAGATATCTTTTTATCCGTGCGTGACCTGCATGAACATTGGGATTGACCAATATCTTTCCTTGCAGAGGCATCGACTGGACGCAGTCAATGGGAAATACCGACACCCCCAGCTCAACCGGTAGACCATGCACCGTCAGTGTCACCTCCCCCATCCACCACTCATCACGGGAGGCGTCGCCAATACGCAGCCGGGCAGACCCAAGCGTACTACGGCGCGGGCGATGCCCTTGGAGACCAGTATGGCGCACTTGGTGTACCACAGCAGCAGCAACCTGCAGCTACTACTCAGCTCTTTACTCCAGGACTCGCGGCAGAGGGCGGTTTCGCAGGTCAGCAGCAAGTCCCGCAAGCATCGTACTACGCACCCCAACAGGAGCCCCAGTACATCAATACTCCTGGGTTTGGCCAGGAACCAACGTATCATCCACCTAATGCGCCAATCCACCATCTCACGGATCAATTCGGGCAGATGGGGATGGGGCAGAAACCGCTACATCTCACCACTACCAATCTACTTACGTCGCCACCAGACCCTCGTGAGCTGGTTCGCCCTCCTCCCGAGATTAGGTTGCCTGCGAACGCGTGCATCACGACATCACCGTACGCGAATGCGGATCCATCATACCAGCGGTGCACCGTCAATGCCATTCCGACCACATCTTCGATGCTGAACAAGTCCAAGATTCCGTTAGGTTTGGTGATCACTCCCTACCGAACGCTGAAGGAGGGCGAGCCACCAGTGCCTGTTGTGACTGACACGGTGATTGCGCGATGCAGACGGTGCAGGACGTATATAAATCCTTATGTTCAATTTATAGACAACGGCAATCGGTGAGTTTGATATACATTGGATATTGATTGGCAGGCTAACCTATTAACAATCATAGTTGGCGGTGTTGTATGTGCAGTATGTCGAACGAGGTTCCTCAGCTATTCGACTGGGACCAGATACGGAATCAGCCTGGAGACCGATGGGCTAGAGACGAATTGAACCACTCCGTCGTCGAATTTGTTGCGCCCACAGAGTACATGGTCCGCCCACCACAGCCGGCTGTGTATGTGATTCTTATTGATGTGAGCCATACCGCCGTGCAGTCGGGTAAGTCATCACGGTCGGTGAAGTACCAGCTTCGTAATATCTTCCTATAGGTATGGTGGCAACGGCGACACGTACTATACTTGAGAATCTTGATCGCATACCCAACGAGGACGAGCGCACTAAAGTTGCCATTATCGCTTACGACATTTCTCTTTATTTCTTCTCCATGCCAGTTGGTACTTTCTGATCCTCTGAGGTCTCGTACTAATTTGTTTTTGTTGTAGCCTGGGACGACGGAATCAACGATGCTCGTCGTTTCGGACGTTGACGACGTCTTCTTGCCGAAACCTACTGACCTCCTCATAAACTTGACGGAAGCGCGTCAGTCGCTGGAGTCGCTCCTTGGCAGAATCAATGACATGTTCCAGGATAATCACACTGTTGGAAGTGCCATGGGCCCCGCATTGCAAGCTGGCTTCAAGCTGATGGTCAGTTGCTGAATAGAAAGACATTGCAGTTCTTGAATTGTTTCTAGGCTCCTATTGGTGGCAAGATCATGGTACTTTCATCCTCTTTGCCAAATATTGGCGCTGGTTCCCTCAAAAATCGTGAAGATCTCAAAATTCTGGGCACGTCCAAAGTAAGCTCCCGATCATGTTGCCGATTACATCTTAGCTGATGGATCCTTTACAGGAATCAGGTCTATTGCAAGCTGCTTCACCCTTCTACAAGACATTCGCCATTGAGTGCTCGCGTGCTCAGGTGTCGGTGGACATGTTCCTATTCAGCGCTGCATACCAGGACGTTGCCAGTCTCGGTTCGTGACTCCTTATCATTCTCCTCACTCCAAGCCCACCTAATGTATTTCAATAGCTTGCCTCCCACACTATACTTCTGGCCAAACCTACTTCTATCCTGCATTCAATGCTGCTCGGTCCGAGGATGCCATTAAATTTGCGCATGAGTTTGGCGAGGTCCTCGCGATGCCTATTATGTTAGAAGCCGTTATGCGCGTCCGTGCTTCGAAAGGTAAGGGATCATTTTACGTTGCCGCTATCAATGCTCATCAATGCAATCAAGGTTTGCGCATGGCTTCGTTCCACGGAAACTTCTTCGTCCGCTCTACTGACCTTCTGGCCATGCCCGCCGTGCCCACCGATCAGTCTTACGCCATTGAGATCCAGATCGAGGACACTCTTACGCAACCATTTGTGGTTATGCAGACTGCAGTTTTGCACACAACGTGTCACGGGGAAAGGCGTATTCGTGTCATTACACTTGCGTTGCCCACAACTAGTAGCCTTACGGAGGTTTTTGCGTCTGCTGACCAAGTCGCAATCACGACCCTGCTAGCGAACAAAGCCGTAGAGCGCTCGCTTACCCACAAGCTAGAGGATGCCCGCGATGCAGTGCATCAGCGGCTGGTGGAGATCTTATCCAGTTACAAGAGCAGCATGACATCCGCAGGTGCAGGTGCGAATGCGCAACTAGCGATCTCGGAGAACCTGAGAATGCTGCCTGTGTTGGTTCTTGGGCTGCTGAAGAATGTGAGTTCGTCACATTGCTTGTTTACGATTGACCTGACCCGCTCTGTTACACAGGTCGGTATCCGTCAAAGCGCGCAAATTCCTCCCGATCTCAGGGCCTATGCCCAGGCTCTGTTGACAACCCTACCTTCTCAAACCCTCATCCCGTACATTCATCCCACGTTCTTTTCACTGCACAATATGGCACCTGAAGTAGGTTGAGTCTGGATATTCGAGTTAAATATTTTACTAACACTATTTTCAGGCTGGAACGGTGGGTGAGCAAGGTGTGATTTTGCCAACCCCTCTGCCCCTCACTTCGGAACGGCTGGAGAGACATGGTTTGTACCTGATTGAGGATGGTCAGACAATATTCTTGTGGATAGGCCGTGATGCTGTACCACAACTCGTAATGGACGTTTTCAACCTTCCGAATTACGAAGTGCTACGTGGCGGCAAGGTGGGCATCCTGTTGTTTTGCGAGGTGCTTTCTCCATGTTGCTGATCAACCCCTTACTATTAGACGACACTTCCTGTTCTTGACAACGACTTCTCACAGCGGGTCAACGCCATCATTCAGAAAACCCGCGAGATGCGCAGAGGCGTTTACTATCCTCATCTCTACGTCGTCAAGGAGGACGGCGAGCCCCCTTTGCGGCTCTGGGCCCTCAGCTGTCTCATTCAAGATCGTGCTGATGTTTTACCGAGCTATCAACAGTTCATTGGACAACTCAAGGACAAGGTTAACGGAGCCAATAATTACTGAGCCTGCATCCTCTGCGCGGAAGCTGTTAGGCCATATTCGGACGAAACGGGTGTCTGGACCGAGATTACGCGCTTTTCCTTACTTTACTATACGGAGTTGTAGAAATGATATGTGCAGACTGAGATAAAGCTATTTTTGCTTCCCTTTGCAGGCATCACGTAAAATTTAAAAGTTAAGCGTCACAGGTTCTTTTTCCAGATCTGCGCCGTGCGCGTGAAGTTTGTCCGATGGGCACAGTACTGAAGAGTGGGTCTTCTGATTTAGGATGGAAAGGAATTACACTCAAGTACTGGCAGTTATCGTTGTGCGCTGGTTAAGCAGTTGAACAATTCGCATTTTAAGCCTACCATGTCACGGTCACGACTGGGTTCGCGTTTCTAGTTTTCTGGCCCGTGTCGTGAACGGTTAATAATTAACAGGCCAAAACCGTCAAGTTCAGGTCAATTATAGAGCCACATCAGTGAAGTGGTCTAGATTTGACTTGGAACAGACTTCGGATACGAGGAGCACCGATCAAGGTCGAAATTACATGCTCATTATTTTTGAGTATGTAAAAGGAGCGGACCATTTGTCCGACACTCCAATTGACCTGGTCTCATAAGAAGTTAGCGTATATAATGTACGCAGTGTGAGTCTTATCCTTTCCCTCCCATTCTCTCTTCGCGAAATGTCTCTTTCACCAGTCACGACTGACCCCGTGTTTACCTCAGACAAGGCGAATCTCGCCCCTGGGGCCACAGAGTCGATATCCCGAGTATCGCCTGAGCCGCCCTGCAAACTTGATCTTACGGAGAGCGTTGCGGTAGACGCAATTGAACTTTCTCCCGTGACTCCAATAGACAAACAGGATTATGACTCGGAAAGTCCATCAATACTTTCAGCCAGGTACAAAACACAAAGAACGCGGGAGAAAATTCAATTTGTGACATTGTGTTGGTTTGTCTATCTGGAGGGTTGGAATGATGGATCGAATGGCCCACTGTTGCCAAGGATTCAAAAAGTTTATGGGGTACGTTTTTTTTTGTATTTTGTACTGCAACTCCTTATTGACGTGTTTTTCTAGGTTGGATATGCTGTTGTATCTCTTATTTTTATTTGCGCTTGCGTGGTCAGTTTGTACACGAGATTCTAAACTGATCATGATTCTTATCATGTGTGGGCTAAACAGGGATTTATCACGGGCGCCGTGTCTAATGTGATCCTTGCCGAGAAGCTAGGATTCGGAAAAGTACGCCCATATAGACTGTACGTTTCATGTGACGATCCTGACTTCTTGTAAGGTGATGGTACTAGGTACTGCTCGCTGACATCGGGGGCCGCATGATTCTCAATTTCTCGCACTGCAGGCTCCCTATGTCAAGTCTTGGCATACTGTATCGAGTCTACGGGGCCCCCCTTTCCCGTGTTTGTATTTGCGTATTTCATTAACGGAATTGGAATAGCTCTACAGGCAGGTAAATTCGTTTATCATCATTCATCTTTACTAACTCGTGAACAGAATGCAAATTCAGTCGGCTATGTTGCATGTCTCAAGGAAAATGCAGAAGCGAAGATGGGCGTTTTCATGGCAGGTATGCATCAGCCATTTTTATGCAGGTCATTCACCTCGCTCACTCTCGAATCATGTAGTATATGGTAAATTGACCAGCAATTCCTTTTCGTAAAGTCAATGTTCACAACTCATAGGGGCCGGAGCACTCTCATCTCCTTTGGTTGCCACCCAGTTTTCACACCTACCTCATTGGAATCTACATTTCTTGACATCCCTTGGAATTGCGATCACCAATACAATCGCCTTGATCATAGTCTTCCGGCTGAAGCCCCAGGCAGGTAAGGACAATGTGCATGACACGTTTTTATTTGATTTCTGATATCAGTTACATTCTCCAGAGTGTCTTTCCGAGATAGGCATCGTGCACTCGGATAACAATACAAGCGAGCACAGTCATCTCAGGCAGATATTCGCAAACAAAGATGTCCATCTTCTGGCAGCATTCACTCTACTCTATGTCGGAGTCGAGGTTACTCTTGGCGGTTCGTGACCGTCTACAATGGTTATAATATCTGACGCTCTGAAAAAGGCTGGATTGTTACCTACATTCTTGATGTCAGAGGCGGAGGGCCTTCATCCGGTTATGTTTCTAGTGGTTTCTTCGGCGGTATGCAACAGCGCGCGTTGGTAGACTCTGACTTATCCTCCTATTCTCTAGGTCTCATGGTCGGTCGAGTGGCTTTGCTATGGTTGAATGAAAAGGTAGATTGCTCGAATGAAGCTGAATGAACATTTTGGCTGATTTGGGACCCAATAGATCGGAGAACGCTTGGCCTTGTTCATCTATGCCGTTCTGGCTATCATGTTAGTGATGGAAGCGTGCTTACTCTATCATCACTGATACATCCATTGTTGGTAGTTTCGAGTTCATCGTATGGTTCCTCCCGTCTTTGATAGGAGATGCAATCATTGTCTGTGTAGTTGGCGTGTTGCTGGGGCCACTGTATCCAATTATGGTGAACCATGCAGGACGCATCCTTCCTCGCCGAATCCTCACTGGTATGCCTCAAACAGTCTAACAATTACTTGCGATTCATAATTTCCGGGGCATAGGTTCCATTGGTTGGATTGCAGGAGTGGGGCAGGCAGGTTCTGCAATGATTCCGTTTATGGTGGGTGCTATCGCGCAAACTGCTGGAATGAAAGTCCTGCAGCCTGTGTATGTATCATAATAACGACACTACGAAGGCATGTCATATCTCACTTTTTTTTTTAGATTGATCGGCATCCTGGGTATTATGACTGGGTTATGGGCCCTGGTGTGCTACGGTTCCAGTTCACGTCGTCCCAATTAAAAGTTTGAATTTGCGTTCTCTTTATGTATTGTACGACTTTGTCAAGTTACTGCATTGTTTTCCAGCAGGCAATATTTATGATATTCATCACGTTCAATTGCACATGATCGCGCGCGCGCGCGTACGTCGTGACCTCGCACCCAGTGACTTGCAAAAATCGTACAAGTCCCATTTCCCGTGAACTCGTACTACCCACTGTCATTGCCACTGTTTATGACGATCTCAATACTGAAAGATATGCCAAACCTTTCTTTCGAATGTTCATGTGCACGTTGTTCACAGCATCCGGATGGATCATCAGGGAAAACCTCCTTCACGAAATCAAGGTAATTTCAGAGAATTCCTCTGAATTCCGCTGAAATAAAAGTAAACGAGATTATTCAACTCCAGTCGAAATTCCTTTGAATTCCTTTGAAATCCTTTGAATTTGCTGATTGATTATCTTGAATTATCTTGAATTCAAACAATGTGAAGACACACGAACATCAAATATATTAGAATTAAACGAGAATATCACAACCGAAAGACGGCAAAAAGATCAGCAGACTCGAAAAAGCACCAGTATGTACAAATGACTCGGAAGGTTGATTAATCTTCACCCATTGCATCAAGATCAAGGTAATCACAAGCGGCGTCCAATGAACCAGCGGGCTCTGAGCTTTCTACTGCACTAATGTTGAATTAGTTAGAGTACACGACGATAACAAATAGCGCGTGAGCAAGACATACCTGACTGCCTTGTAGAGACGCGCCATCAGTACATGGTACTTCTTTCGACTACCGTTAAAGATGCGTGTGAGAGTCGCTTGGTGAGCGTTGTAAACACTGATGTGGAAGGAGGAATTGAATGATTTGACTTGTGCGCCTGAGGGTGGGTTCCCGCTGCTCCAATCCTTCAATATCGAGTAAATCTGCAGAGAACATTATGTAGTGAGCAAACAGAGTAAACATTATCAAGAGCGGCACCTACAAGCGTTGCAATCAAACACACCATAGCAACAGGTAGCTCGGGCTCGTTGTTTCCATCCAAGACCGAGACAAAATCGTCACAGGACTGGACACCAATTGAGTTCTCACCATCGAAAAAAGATAAACGGATGGAGTCAACCATAGACTCGTCACAAAACGGTTGGTCCCCAAGGACCTTACCCTGGGTGGTGGATAAGAATAAGATAAATGAAGAGATAGATAACGAAAAAATGAACAGACCTTGGCGTCGGTTGGGAATTTACAGGAGACTATTTTGGCCACTACAACGAACAAGATCTGGAATGGCCAGATGATAATGACGAAGTTGCAGCGGCGGAGCCTCCTTTGGATTCTGATGGCGAGGAAGAGGATCACAATGCAGAGGTTGAGGTTGAGAATGGGTGGGAACGCCCTGCAGATCCTGTACCGCAGGATATCGACGTTGATGTTTTTGAGGAGTCAGATATGTTGCCACAATCACATGCAGCCGAACGACAAGAAGCGGAGAAAGCCCTTGGTCGCCAGCCCACTATTGAGAAATTTCCGCGGCGCCATGCAGGTGCTCCAATACTTAACTCTGGCACTACCGCTTTCGAGTCTTATAACAATGCTCTGCAAGGCGCAGACAATGTTTGGGCTCCCTTCGCATCTCGCATAGACTACGAGGTTGCAAAGTGGGCAAAACTTCGTGGATCGGGCTCAACTGCTTTTTCAGAGCTGCTTGCAGTCGAAGGGGTGAGTCTTCATTTTCTTGGGTCATGAATGGGCCAACTTTTTAACTACGTTTCTATAGCTTCATGATGCCTTAGGTCTTTCGTATCGAAACACCCGTGAACTCAATCAAATCATTGACCGACACTTACCATGCCGACGACCTCGTTTCAAACGTGAAGAAATCATTGTTGCAGACGAAGCATTTGACGTGTACTCGCGTGACGTCATGGAGTGCGTCAAAGCCCTTTATTCAGATCCGGATTTCTCGCAACACCTCAACTACACTCCCGAACGCCATTATGTCGATGCTGACAAAACAATCCGAATGTATCATGATATGCATACAGGAAAGTGGTGGTGGTCCACGCAGGCGAGTCTTTTGAAAAACGTTCTGATTCATATTGAACTTACCACAATATCATTTAGAAAGAACTCGAAGCAGAGAAACCTGGCGCAACAGTCATACCCATCATCCTTTCCTCCGACAAGACGCAGGTCACCATGTTTAGGAACAAATCTGCCTATCCTGTCTATATGACAATAGGCAACATTCCGAAGGAGATCCGTCGAAAGCCATCTCGACGGGCGTGGATTCTCCTGGCCTATCTACCAACCTCAAAACTCGAACATATCACAAACAAGGCTGCGAGGCGCCGAACGGCCACAAATTTATTTCATGCTTGTGTGCGTCACATTCTGGAGCCTCTGAGAGTCCCCGGCAAGGATGGTGTTGCTATGGCTAGTGGGGATGGAGTTGTGCGTCGAGGACATCCGATTGTCGCATGTTATTCCGCCGATTACCCGGAACAGTTGTTGACAACTGGGATAAAATCTGGAGAATGCCCAAAATGCGATGTCCCGCATGAGGAGTTGGGAAGTCCTGATGTTCCTGTCAAGCTGCGAGACCTCGAGGCAATTGTCGCTGCATTGTCGCTCGTTGATGAGGACTATGACTTGTGGAGACAAGCATGCCAGGAGCGCGGCATTAAGCCCATCTACAAACCATTCTGGCTGGATCTCCCGCATGCTAATATATTCCAATCCATCACGCCGGACGTGTTACATCAACTCTACCAGGGTATTGTGAAGCACCTCATCGAGTGGATCAAGGAGGCATATAGCGAAGCCGAAATTGATGCTCGTTGTCGTAGACTTCCCCCAAACCATAATATCCGATTGTTTCTCAAGGGTATCAGTAATCTCTCGCGTGTTAGTGGAACGGAGCACAATCAAATCTGTCGCTTCCTGCTCGGCATTGTCATTGGCATACGGTTGCCTGGAAATCTCAACAATGCTCGCCTTACTCGTGCTGTTCGTGCCATCCTTGATTTCCTGTACCTTGCGCAATACCCTTGTCATACGGACGAAACACTGGCACTTCTCGATGATGCCTTAACACGCTTTCACGACAATAAGGACATCTTCCTTGATCTTGGAATCCGCTCGAATTTCAACCTTCCGAAGCTTCACGGCTTCCGTCACTATGTACATATGATAAAAACGTATGGTACAACTGACAACTACAACACCGAGTACACAGAACGTTTACACATCGACCTCACGAAGGATGCCTATAGGGCTACCAACCATAAAGACGAGTACACTCAAATGACACTCTGGCTCGAAAGACGGGAGAAGATTCTATGGCACGACAACTTTGTCCAATGGCGTCTCGTTGGTGATATTGCCCCGCAAGAAATCATACCTCCAGACATGGATTATCGTCGCGCAATCAAGATGACTAAACACCCGACCATCAAGCGTGTCCAGTTGGACCGCATTGTGCGGGAGTATGGCGCCACATTTTTCACTGAAGCTTTGGCTCGTTACGTCGTCGGGAGAAATCAACCTGGTTTGTCTGCAGCACAACTCGAACGCGAGGCCGCTCACATCATTATTCCCTTTGATACTGTGGCTACGTTCCACAGGATCAAATTCAACTCAATCAATGCTCGGGGGATCCAGGACTCGAGTGTCACCGTGGATTCTGTCCATTGTCAACCATCACAAGAGGACAAGCGAGGGCATATGATCCCCGCGCGTTTTGACACAGTTTTGGTCAACGAAGGGGACGGCGGGACAACAGGCGTGGATGGTGCGTTTTGTATGGTGCATTGAACATGTTAGTCACTAATCTCACTCGATCACTGAAGGTTACCGTGTTGCGCAAGTCCGTGTCGTCTTTACGCTAACAAATCAAGCTTCGAATGTGTTATTCCGCGCTGGACCTGCACAACCACCCACCCACCTTGCCTATGTGGAATGGTTCACTCCATTCCAGCAACCGGAATCACACCATGGGTTGTACAAAGTTGCCCGCTTGATTCGTCATGGAGAACGTCTGGCAAGCATCATTGAGATATCAGATATCTGTAGGAGCATTCATCTTATACCTAATTTCGGCGTAGCGGCACCTCGTGAGTGGACGAGTAGCACTGTTCTGGAGTGCTGTTCCACCTTCTTTGTAAACCCCTTCAGTGACCGACATGCTTATTTAACACTTGTCTGAGCATTACAATGAAATTTGTTGAAATACCTTTGAATACAAATAATTTACCGAATTCTCAGTATTTTCATGCGAGTTTGTGAAATTACCTTGATTTTGTGAAGGAGGTTTTCCCTGATGATTCACGTATCAAACACAGCAAGTCATTTCAAAACATATAAAAAAATGGCCTCATGTATCACAGACTTCAACGCCCAACTCGGACACAGTGACGAGCTCTAATCCGACTGCGACTGGGCAAACAATACCAGGCTGGTTGACGAGCCGAATGAGGTAGTTTATGTCGTCTTGCAAAGTGAAGGGTTTGTGGACGGCCAGTAGCTCCATAGTTGTGTTGACCAACATCTGTTTCTTGCCAGAGTTTGCGAACACGCCAAAATGTACTTTCGGAGAAGCCGACACAATCAAGAATCTGTTCGAGAGACAGCATGTTGTGCTCATAAAGGTTGATAGCAGCGTATTTCACGTCGCGACTGATTTTGCAGATGCGTGTCTGGGACTTTTTCTTTCTTTAATTTTCCTTATTCATTCAACTCACTCGTTACCTTGCGAAGCCAGCCTCAGCAAGGTCAGTTTCACATGGACGATTTTCTGTGATTTCCAACTAATCTAAGAAGTAAAGTACGACGGTTTTCGGAAACGTTCGCGCGCTCGCGTGGCTTTCGCGTATTTCGCGTATTTCGCTTACCTCGCTTAAACCTGTTTTTGGAAATCTCGCGTGGTTTTCATGTATATTTCGAGCGGCGACTCAAACAACGTCACCCATTGGGAATGTTGCGCAACAACATTGGTAACTGTATGTGTACATGGCATTAAATAATGTGTTTGAGCAGGGGGACAACAGGATTTGAGTGTTTTGCCTACTGCAATTATTAGTAGTGACTGTATATGTACATAAATGGAACAACATATGATACAATTACAGACAGGGAGATAACAAATGTGGTGACAGGAGATAAGATTCAAATAAAAAAAGGAGACAAAGACAATGTAGACTCAAAAACCAGAGAATGTGATGACAGGAAAATGGGGAAATGGGAGAACAGGAGACAGGAGATGGGAGACTGAGAGAACAGAGACGGGAGATGGGAGATGGGAGATGGGAGACGGGAGACGGGAGACGGGAGACGGGAGACGGGAGACGGGAGACGGGAGACGGGAGACGGGAGACGGGAGACGGGAGACGGGAGACGGGAGACGGGAGACGGGAGACGGGAGACGGGAGACGGGAGACGGGAGACGGGAGACGGGAGACGGGAGACGGGAGACGGGAGACGGGAGACGGGAGACGGGAGACGGGAGACGGGAGACGGGAGACGGGAGACGGGAGACGGGAGACGGGAGACGGGAGACGGGAGACGGGAGACGGGAGACGGGAGACGGGAGATGGGAGACGGGAGACGGGAGACGGGAGACAGGAGACAGGAGTAGGAAGCAGGGAGTAGGGAGTAGGGAGTAGGGATTAGCATGGGTATACCCCATGGTAACATTTTTTCCAATCACATATATTACCATTTGAAGGCACATGTACAACTTCAAAATTTTATACTGATCCATCACTCCTATGGTAATCAATTTGGAGGTATATTCCCAGGGGTACAGGGGTCTTCAGATCCAAACCCCTACCCCTACCCTCAAGGGTTTCCCATACCCCTGCTGATCCCTAGATGGGAAGCAGGGAAAAATGGGAAAATAAATACATTCAATGATACTGTTACATATTTTGTATTTTTATATTGGTCAAAATCCTGCTCAAAGAACATAGCACTGACTGATTGTATGTAGTACTATGTACTTTTATGTGGTGTGATAGATTGTACTTTGAGTTTTTTTGAAAAGCTGCTCATAAATATATTTCAAAATCATTCAAAATGCACAATTTATTAGGATGCAGCCTGAGGCCAGGAAGCCAAAGGAGGGCGTAGCCCTCCTTGGCTTCCTGTGACGAAGGAACAACACTCATTTTTCTCCCCTGAAGGAGCGCGTAGCGCTCCTTCGATTTGTGCCGAAGGCACAACAGGCGTGAGCTCGTCTAAGAAGTAAAGTACAACGGTTTCGCTAGCTCGCGTGGCTTTCGCTAAAGGCCACATGGGAGCGCTTAGCTCGCTTAAACCTCTTTTTGGAAACTCGCGTGGTTTTCTCGCGTGAATGTGTGAAAATGAATTCTAAATTGAGATTTCAAAATGCAAAAAATCTACGGAGTCCAAAACGCGATATAGTGGACAGTAATCCTCACGCTTACTGCGCCGCGTGTACAACAGGGTCAAACAACTCACTTTTCCTACCATGGGGGAAAGGCATCGAGCATAACAAAAGCAATAATAGAAATTTGGTTACACAATTTGGTTACACAAATTTTGGTTACATTGGTTACACAATTTGGTGACACAAATCATTACACAACTTGGCTGCTGCTTTTGAATAGAATTCTCGAGTTAAATTGCCCTCCCCTGCAGCCAAGTGTAATAAAGTGCAAAAAACACTTTTTGTGGGTGTCATTTCTTATCAACAATGATAAAAAAATTTGACTTATTAATGAGTTTAGGCAACTCAAAATTTTGCACTTGCTAAACAACTGTTTGAATAACATAACAAAGATGGCTCAAAATTTTCCTATTCAGTGAGTCACCAACTATAATATTGCTATACATGATGCTAATAATATTTGCACATATGCCATTTAGAAACGAACAGATAACCCCAGAGCGTGATCGTCAGTCACAACGAGAACGCGATAGACTCAATCGGCTTCAAATGACTTCTCCGGCCAGGCGTAATCGTCGCCATGCTGCTCATGACAATCAGAACGTACCTCTGCCTGCTATACAACAACCGAATTTCATGCCAGCCGATGAGCCACAAGCATTCCTGGATCGCACCATTCTTTCTGCAAAGAACACTGATGTGGATGAAATCAATGCCACTATCCTCGAATCATTCCCTGGAGAAAAAGCAGTCTTCACCAGTGCGGACTCAGTCACGGAGAGAGAATACGATTACATTCCCCCAGAGTTCCTTCATACCCTCGCCCCATCAGGCTTCCCTTTGCACACATTGGAGGTCAAAGCAGGTGTTCCTCTAATGCTTTTGCGCAATTTGAACCCCTTGCAGGGACTCTATAATGGAACTCGCATGATACTCCTGTCTTGGACCACCCGTGTCCTTAGGTGCCGTGTTCTTAGGGGTGGAGACGATGAAGATCAGCAGGTCGATGAGAACACAGTCCTAATCCCTCGCATCACTATGGAATCCAGCTCTGAAGAGAACCCAATCCCCCTCAAGCGTCGCCAGTTTCCTGTTCGTCTTGCATTCGCTATGACAATCAACAAGGCGCAAGGTCAAAGCGTCAAGTGGGTTGGCCTTAATTTACGGACTCCTGTATTCAGCCATGGACAACTCTATGTGGCTTTATCTCGCTGCACCCACCCAGACAGGGTGTTTGCTATCTTTCCGGAGCATGAAGAAGGCTCAAATACAACCAATGTAGTATATACAGAAGTGCTTAGAGGACTCACAGATCGTATCAACGATTGATGTACTTATATATATAGAACTGACTGATCTTATGTACTATGTACTTTTAGTTTTCTTGAAATGCTGCTCATAAATGTACCTCTTTTTGAAATCCACTATCAAGGCGTGATCTTATTCAAAATGCACGATTTATTAGGATGCAGCCTGAGGCCAGGAAGCCAAAGGAGGGCGTAGCCCTCCTTGGCTTCCTGTGACGAAGGAACAACACTCATTTTCCTCCCCTGAAGGAGCGCGTAGCGCTCCTTCGATTTGTGCCGAAGGCACAACGGGCGTGAGCTCGTAGTAAGTGACGCAATAGATACCATAGACCGTGATTACATAAATGACATAAGAACACGTGCGAATTGACGTACTAGTACTGAACTCAATGTTCATACTATAGTGTGCACTGTATTGCCAGTAATCCATCCTCCCTATTCTGGTATCCTGACTACTAGTGACGTGGTTGCAGGAGCACCCTACACTGGTCGTGTCTACATCACACCTCCAGATAGGCCAACGCCCACCTTCAAGTATCTCTTGCACCACACCCACGCCACCCGTAGCCACTCACTTGCATAAGGATAAGATTGAGGCGAGGGTACGTCCATACTACTGCAGCCTATGGGAGATCTTCTGTGAATACTGAGCATAATCTACAGGAAAACCTGGTGATAACTACAGAAAAGTCTGTAACTTCCGGCACAATTCCAGCAGTGACTATATATGTGGCAGAGAATGTTGCAATATTTTGACACTTCTCCCACATTCTATCGTGTCTATAATCCGCGCGTTTATGCTTTATATCGTCATGTGGTATCATGCTCCTTGAGCTGAACAATTCGCTTTTCAAGCCTACCATGTCACGGTCACGACTGGGTTCGCGTTTCTAGTTTTCTGGCCCGACGTTGTCGTGAACGGTTCATAATTAACAGGCCAAAACCGTCAAGTTAAGGTCAATTATAGAGCCACATCAGTGAAGTGGTCTGACTTGGAACTGACTTTGGATACGAGGAGCACCGATCAAAGGTCGAAATTACATGGTCGTTATTTTTGATCATGTACAGGAGCGGACCATTTGTCCGACACTCCAATTGACCTGGTCTCATAAGAAGTTATATAGTGTACGCAGAGGGAGTCTTATCCTTTCCCTCCCATTTTCTCTTCGCGAAATGTCCCTTTCACCAGTCACGATTGACCCCGTTTTTACCTCAGACAAGGCGAATCTCGCCCCTGGGGCCACATCGATATGCCGAGTATCGCCTGAGCCGTCGTGCAAGCTTGGTCTTACGGAGAGCGTCACGGTAGATGCGATCGAGCTTTCCCCCGTGACTCCAGTAAACAAGCAGAACTATGACTCGGAAAATCCATCAGTACTTTCAGCCAGGTACGAAACACAAAGAACGCGGGAGAAAATTCAATTTGTGACATTGTGTTGGTTTAACTATCTGGGGGGCTGGAATGATGGATCGAATGGCCCCCTGTTGCCAAGGATTCAAAAAGTTTATGGGGTACGTTTGTCTTTTGTCTTTTGTACCGCAACTGCTTATTGACGTGTTTTTCTAGGTTGGATATGCTGTTGTATCTCTTATTTTTATTTGCGCTTGCGTGGTCAGTACTTCAGTTTGTACACGAGACTCTAAACTGATCATGATTCTTATCATGCGTGGGCTAAACAGGGATATATCACGGGCGCCGTGTCTAATGTGATTCTTACCGAGAAGCTAGGATTCGGAAAAGTACGCCCGTATAGACTATACATTTCATGTGACGATCCTAACTTCTTGTAAGGTGGATGGTACTAGGTACTGCTCGCTGACATCGGGGGCCGCATGATTCTCAATTTCTCGCACTGCAGGCTCCCTATGTCAAGTCTTGGCATACTGTATCGAGTCTACGGGGCCCCCCTTTCCCGTGTTTGTATTTGCGTATTTCATTAACGGAATTGGATTAGCTGTACAGGCAGGTAAATTTGTTTACCATCATTCATCTTTACTAACTCGTGAACAGAATGCAAATGCAGTCGGCTATGTTGCATGCCTCAAAGAAAATGCAGAAGCGAAGATAGGCGTTTTCGCGGCAGGTATGCATCATTTTTATGCAGGTCATTCGCCTCGCTCACTCTCAAATCATGTAGTATATGGTAAATTGACCAGCAATTCCTTTTCGTAAAGTCAATGTTCACAACTCATAGGGGCCGGTGCACTCTCATCTCCTTTGGTTGCCACCCAATTTTCACACTTACCTCATTGGAATTTACATTTCTTGACATCTCTTGGAATTGCGATCATCAATACAATCGCCTTGATCATAGTCTTCCGGCTGAAGCCCCAGGCAGGTAAGGACAATGCGCATGACACGTTTCTACTTGATTGCTGATATCAGCCATGTACATTCTTCAGAGTGTCTTTCCGAGATAGGCATCGTGGACTCGGATAACAGTACAAGCGAGCACAGTCATCTCAGGCAGATATTCGCGAACAAAGATGTCCATCTTCTGGCAGCATTCACTCTACTCTATGTCGGAGTCGAGGTTACTCTTGGCGGTTCGTGACCGTCTACAATAGTCGTAATATCTGACGCTCTGAAAAAGGCTGGATTGTTACCTACATCATTGATGTCAGAGGCGGAGGGCCGTCATCTGGTTATGTTTCCAGTGGTTTCTTCGGCGGTATGCAACAGCGCGCGTTGGTAGACTTTGACTTATCCTCCTATTCTCTAGGTCTCATGGTCGGTCGAGTGGCCTTGCTATGGTTGAATAAAAAGGTAGATTGCACGAATGAAGTTGAATGAGCATCTTGGCTGATTTGGGACCCAATAGATCGGAGAACGCTTGGTCTTGTTCATCTATACCGTTCTAATTATCATGTTAGTGATGGAAGCGTGCGTACTCTATCATCACTGATACATCCATTGTTGATAGTTTCGAGTTCATCGTATGGTTCGTCCCGTCTTTGATAGGAGATGCAATCGTTGTCTGTGTAATTGGCATGTTGCTGGGGCCAATGTATCCAATTATAGTGACCCATGCACGACGCATCCTTCCTCGCCGAATCCTCACTGGTATGTCTCAAACAGTTTAACAATTACTCGTGATCATAATTTCCGGGACATAGGTTCCATTGGTTGGATTTCAGGAGTGGGGCAGGCAGGTTCTGCAATGGTTCCGTTTATGGTGGGTGCCATCGCGCAAACTGCTGGAATGAAAGTCCTGCAGCCTGTGTACGTATCATAATAACGACACTAAGAAGGCATGTCATATCTCACATTATTTTTTTAGATTGATCGGCATACTGGGTATTATGACTGGGTTATGGGCCCTGGTGTGCTATGGTTCCAGTTCATGTCGTCCCGATTGAAGGTTTGAATTTGCGTCCAGGTTGTACATATCTAGAGATTTCATGGTGGCGTGATCAATTTGAATGATAAAGTTCAATAGGGATTGGTACAAGGCTGCCGTGTACCCGGACCGGTGTAAATAGAAGTATGTGTACTCGTGGTCTAAGAAGTTAACTTCGGAGTACCATGCATCCTGTGGTTTGGTGGTGTCATTACCGTGTTCCTGTTCTAGTATTACTAAGTCCCACGTCTAATCTTCAGTCAAAAAGTTCAAGTGCTCACCGAACCCGATAGCAGGGGTGATCTGTTTGTTGTTGAGGGTGATGAGATGGGATGGTCATCCTCATGATATTTCATAAATATTGTAGGGGATGCTCCGACCACGGCGCAAAATCCAGAAAATGAGAAACTCCCCAGCCACGCGGCAGGACACGCCTTGATAGGCCCATCAGCCGGCACGATCATGAAGAAATATCTTCAACTAGATTGTGGCGTGAATCTGATTAGAAAGTAAAAATATCATGAACAACACTGTCGTTCGCGCACTGCATAGAATACCGTTTCTTTCTCGAAATCATGCTGCGGTACTAGATTAGAAAAGGATACCATCATTGATACCATCCATTTTCTCCATATCTTCCACTACCGGTATTACGGCAGCTGTATGTTCGGCCATCTAAACGAGCATGATAAACAGTGGATCTCTTGTCCCTTGCAGCATCGACGTCACGGTTGAACAACTTGCTAAAAATTCTTCGTGGCATTGTCACTGGATGAAGTAGTAATGCACTCACGCAGTGTCTTACTTAATGAGTCGCGCAAGTTGGAAGCCGACGAGCGAGAAACAGCTTAGCCGTGGCGCAGGCTCCTTCCCAACTCTGCTTCGAGTGTAAAGGGGCGGACTGCGAGGGAGCGTGGACTAGACTCGTATCTGAGTAGTCGTGACTGTCGTGTTGAGTAGTCGTGTTATGGTTAGAGTTGTAGTAGTAAGTTACTATGACTGTACGGCATTTACCTTGGTCACCGGTTTGATGCTGGGATTGAATTTTACACTCGAGTTAGCATTAGTCACACATAGTAGTACTTCGGTGATCATCATGATATATTGGCCCTCGCAGACCGGAAGCAGCGATGGGAAAGAGCTCGAGTTTTGCGACAACGTGCTTCTGGCATTGCACTAATATTAGTAGTAAGTTTTACACTTGTTTACATACTGACTTACAAACTCGTTATCAACAATCAGTTGCTAGTTTGACGCTCACCCGCATGATCAAGCCTCCAGACCTGTGCGGGCCCCACGGCTTGTAATTCTTCACTCGTAGCTCTTCTCAGGCAATGTAATATCCTTTAGAGGAATATTGAAACAGAGTCCTATATCAGTCTTCCTCGGATGCTTACTCGAACGCACTTCAAATTTCGTTTCCCAGTCATAACCTTGGATCCAAGAGCATTCATAGGCCGTGGTTCACATATACGACTCCAAAACTCATCATGCAGACGACGACAATCAGTGAAGGTCATACGGATTTACACCATCTCACAATTGACCCTCAGCACAATCTTAAAGAAAGTGACAAACACAATGAAGGAGTTGAAACGCGAGTGGGGTCGTCTGCAAGTGATTCAGGAGCAGCGTCTGTCTCTGACATGAAAGCCCAAACGAAACGTCAGCGGCTGCGCGCACGGGTGCAATTTGCGACAGTTTGTGGGTCTATGTACCTAGCTGGATGGAATGACGGGACGACTGGTCCATTGCTCCCCCGGATACAGAAAGTGTATGACGTAGGTTGTTTCAAACACCTGCAATTCTCTCTTAAGTTTACCTCCTATCGTCTTGACAGTTGAATTTCACTATCGTATCCTTGATATTCGTGTTCGCATGCGTTGTAAGATTTCACTGCAGCCTGCCAGATTCACCGATAAATCTGAGTTACTCGACAGGGCTTCCTATCTGGAGCATTTGCAAACCTATATCTGAATGGCAGATTCGGTTTCGGGAAAGTCAGTTCGTCTTCGATGATTTTCTTTTACGATCTCTGAGGTACACTCCGTGGTCTAGGTGATTGTATTAGGTGAGGGCGGATCATTGAAAGCAGAGACCATAATCGCCTTATGATTGTTCAGGATCTGCGTGTCAAGTGATAGCGTACGCCATAGAGGCGGGTGCCTTGCCATTTCCTGCATTCGTGCTAGGCTACGCCATCAATGGCTTTGGAATGGCTCTACAGGTAAGTTACACCAATGCAATGGATTCTACGGTTCCTGATGGACTTGAAATTAGGACGCACAATCGAATGGTTATGTGGCCAGTCTCAAGGATAATCCCGAGGTGAAAATGGGGATCCTCCATGCAGTAAGTGTGTCATTTTGTCTGTGAACTCTCAATTCATCTTGCCATTCAAAGGTATACGGTACGTTACACCTATTTCGTGGGGATGCAACGTGACAGATGTTCCTACTTTCACATTTCAGGTGCTGGCGCTTTGTCGTCCCCTTTGGTAGCAACGCAATTTGCCCAGCTTCCGCATTGGTCATTTCACTACCTGTGCAGCCTTGGTGTTGCGTTCATAAACATAGTATCGTTGATTGTAGTCTTTGGGCTTAAAACACAGGATGGTATGATAAGCACTCATTATTGAGAAGACAGCTAAGCATTTCACAGAGTGCCTCGCTCAGATTGGACAACCACCAGGAGAAAAGGGAACAAGCTGAGAAGAGCCAGTTCAGCCAGATATTGCGGCTCAGAGAAGTGCACCTCCTCGCCTTCTTCATTTTAATATATGTAGGAGTGGAGGTCACTATGGGTGGTAAGTATACCATTCAAGTGGAGAAAATGCTCACTCAGAATATCACTCTAGGGTGGATGGTGACGTACATAATCGACGTGCGCGGAGGAGGTTCTAGCTCGGGATATATATCATCAGGGTTTTTTGGAGGTAAGCTTTTCCGGGTATGCTAGGGATTCGAGTTTCACTTGTAAATAGGTCTCATGATTGGCCGTGTCGGTCTTTTGTGGGTGAACAAAAAGGCAAGTCTTTATCCCCTTCATAGCATGCAACATATATCTCAAAGATCACAGGTTGGGGAACGTCGTGTTTTGTTCATTTATGCTATCCTCGCAATTGGGCTGGAACTAGTAGTATGGCTGGTACCTTCGCTCATTGGTGCAGGCGTTGCGATCTCCATAATTGGAGTGATTTTGGGGCCGATGTATCCCATCGCTATGAATCACACAGTACGAATTCTCCCTGAGTGGCTCGTCACAGGTAATGTTGTGTTTAGTAGTACAAGTATGGTCAACTGAAACCTGAATGTAGGGTCGATTGGCTGGATAGCAGGCTTCGGACAAGCAGGTTCTGCACTCTTACCATTCTTAACCGGTGCCATTGCATCGGAGGCGGGAATAAAGAGTTTACAGCCATTGTGAGTGTTCTTTATAGTAGTACCTGTGCTTAATAAACTGATCGTCGGTGGCACAAAAGTCTCGTTTCAATGATGGCGTTCATGACTGTCTTATGGGTTTTAGTGCCGAGAACTGCTAGGAGAACTGAATGATAGATTCTCCGTTAGCTATAAAGGTTGACATTTGGCAATAGATTCATCTAATGACCTCATTGTGGACCCCTTGCCGGGGTGTCAGTGAATTCTTTCACCCATTTGCCCAGACTCCAACCATTCGGTTATCCTTCATCCTAGTACAGCCACCTTTGTCTTAGATAATCGAGTTGTGTAGTAATCACGTGACATTATGATTGGATGTGACCAATTACATTTCACAATCAATTCGAAGTCACAGAGACATCAAGTCGACTGCTGAGTCATTCATATGCTAATGAGATATTCCTCTGTCCTACTCAAGGCTTCCCATTTGATCAGCCAAATAGAGTCAATCATCATCCGGGAATCGGCAAGAACTTGACAAGTCGTCTCAACCATCATGATCCAAAATTCAATTCGTTGGCTCGTGTCATTTAAGCTCCACTCTGTCACGCAAGAAATGATTCTACAGCTTTCAGCATTGCGCCAGTGATCTACCCATGTGAATGGGGACATTAGTGCTTGGTCACGACCATTATGGCTCAAAATTCATTCCGTTGGTTCGTGTCACATCTTTCATCCATAGACCAGTGCACACATAAACCAGTGCATCGAGGGTAAAACAACTTCAAGTTGGCTGGTTGACTTGAAAATTCATCTTTCCTTCACAAGGTTAAGTCAACCCTCCCCTACCAGATTTACGAAAACTATTGTAACTTTTAACTATATATACATAGCCGCTAATCATGACATTCTAGTCTGTTCACCGGACTGCCAGTTCAGTGATGACCACGTCATTTCTTGCAGTTGGTCAGCCTCCCGTGTCTTGCGCTCGAATCTTTTAGACCCTTCCATCAACTCATCGGCAGGAACAACATCCACACCGTGCTCAGGACAGGTATGTTTTCGATGAACACCATATGTCAATTTTTTATTGTTTGTCAGTAGGAACAAATACCAGGTCAAGCCGCCACCCTCGACCTACTGCCGGCCATTGCCGCTTGGCAATTCACTGGCAGAATGCCGCCATTTCTGGCAACACTTAGCTGCGCATTGGGTTATGGGTTGGACCACGGGTTGACACGTACCACTGCGATAATGCTCTAACCGGGTGGGTACGGGTACGCCTCTGAAAATTTTGGTACCTGGATGCAGGTATGAACCGGGTCGACCCATGTCACGCCCTATGAAAAGGAAGATCGAAACGTCCTTTATCAGTTTCTCTGTTCCTTCCTCGAACACACTCAACCTTCAACTTTCGTTTCCGAGCCATAACCTCGGATCCAAAAACATCCTTAGGCCGTGGTTCACATATTCGTTTTCAGAAATCATTATGCAGATGACGACGATCAGTGAAGGTACGGTTTCGCACCATCCCACAATTGGCCCTCATCACAAATTTAAAGAGAGTGAAAAACACAATGAAATGCAAGTGGGGTCCTCTGCAAGTGATTCAAGAGCAGCCTCTGTCTTTGACCTGAAAGCCCAAACGAAGCCTCAGCGGCTGCGCGCGCGAGTGCAATTTGCAACAGTTTGTGGGGCGATGTATCTAGCTGGATGGAATGATGGGACGACTGGTCCATTGCTCCCCCGGATACAGAAAGTGTATGACGTAGGTTGTTTCAAACACCCGCAGCTCTTTTTTACCTCCTATCGCCTTGACAGCTGAATTTTGCTGTTGTATCCCTGATATTCGTGTTTGCATGTGTTGTAAGATTTCATTGCAGGCTACAAATTCGCCGATGAGTCTGAATTATTCGGTAGGGCTTCCTATCTGGAGCGTTTGCAAACCTTTATCTAGACGAGAGATTCGGTTTTGGGAAGGTGAGTTTATCTTCGATGATTTTTTTGCGATCTCTGAGGCACGCTTCGTGGACTAGGTGATCGTGATAGGTGAAGGCGGATTATTGAAAGCAAAGGTCACAATCACCTTATCATTGCTCAGGATCTGTGTGTCAAGTTATAGCGTACGCCATAGAGGCGGCTGCTTTGCCATTTCCTGCATTCGTGCTGGGCTACGTCATCAATGGGTTTGGAATGGCTCTACAGGTAAGTTACATAAGTGCAATAGATTCTACGGACCTGATGGACCCGAACTCAGGACGCACAATCGAATGGTTTTGTAGCCAGTCTCAAGGATAACCCCGAGGTGAAAATGGGGATCCTCCATGCGGTAAGTGTCATCTTATCCGTGAATTCTCAATTTATTTTACTGTTTGAAAGGTATACGGTACGTCATATCTCTTCCATGGGGATGCAACGTAACGGATGTTCCTATTTTCACTTTTCAGGCGGTGGCGCTTTGTCATCCCCTTTGGTAGCAACGCAATTTGCCCAGCTTCCGCATTGGTCATTTCACTACCTGTGCAGCCTTGGTGTTGCGTTCATAAACACTGTACTGTTGATTGCAGTCTTTGGGCTGAAAACACAGGATGGTATGATAAGCACTCATTATTGAGAAGACAGCTAAGCATTTCACAGAGTGCCTCGCTCAGATTGGACAACCACCAGGGGAAAAGGGAACAAGTGAGAAGAGCCAGTTTAGCCAGATATTGCGGCTCAGAGCAGTGCACCTCCTCGCCTTCTTCATTTTGACATTGGTAGGAGTGGAGGTCACTGTAGGTGGTAAGTATACAATTGAAGTGGAGAAGATGCTCACTCAGAATACGACTCTAGGGTGGATGGTGACGTACATAATCGACGTGCGCGGAGGAGGTCCAAGTTCGGGATATATATCATCAGGGTTTTGGGGAGGTAAGCTTTCCTGGGTATGCTACGGACTCGACTGTTTATTTTTCAACTAGGTCTCATGGTTGGCCGTGTCACTCTTCTGTGGGTAAACAAAAAGGCAAGTTCCTGTCCTGTTTACGGCATGCAACATAGATACTCAAGATCACAGGTTGGGGAACGGCGTGTTTTGTTCATTTACGCCATCCTCGCAATTGGGCTACAACTAGTAGTATGGCTGGTGCCTTCGCTCATCGGTGGTGGTGTTGCGGTCTCCCTAATTGGGGTAATTTTGGGGCCGATGTATCCCATCGCTATGAATCACACAGTACGAATCCTCCCCGAGTGGCTCATCACAGGTAAATTCGTGTTTAGTAGCACAAGCATGGTCAACTGAAACCTGAATGTAGGGTCGATTGGTTGGATAGCAGGCTTCGGGCAGGCAGGTTCTGCGCTCTTGCCATTCTTAACTGGTGCCATTGCATCGAAGACCGGAATCAAGAGTTTACAGCCATTGTGAGTGTTCCGTATAGTTGCGTATGTGCTCAATAAACTGATCATTGGTGGCACAAAAGTCTCGTTTCGATGATGGCGTTCCTGACCGTTTTATGGGCGTTAGTGCCGACAACTGCTAGGAGAACTGAATGATAGATTCTCCGTTAGCTATAAAGGTTGACATTTGGCAATAGATTCATCTAATGACCTCATTGTGGACCCCTTGCCGGGGTGTCAGTGAATTCTTTCACATCTCGAAAGAGCTCAGAGCTGTCAGTCAGATGTCAAGAATGTAACACGCACAACGAAACAGTTCCCCATTCCCTATTTATTTATCCCGCATTCTGGCCCCAATGGACGATAAACAAGGATTCCAAAAAAAAAGATGAGTGTAGCGATGATCGGATCAGAAACTTCGAAGTCGACTGCAATCTCAACTTCTAACGGGCTTTCTTCTTGAGTTACACTATGTTGTGGCAGCCGCGCCAGCATACCCGTCGTCGAAATTCGTGTGCTTTCCTATTTTTCATTGCCCTTACAGGAGGCGATAGCAGTTCTAGCCACACGGAAGCCACTGATGAAACGACAATCGCTGCACAGGCAACTTAGTAGAAGTTACCTAGTTTCTCGTATCTCATAGATGTGCCGCCATTCTCATCCTGTCGTACGGCTCTCCCTGATCCAGCCGCATCGGTGGGACAAAATGGCGTAGTCGAGAAGGAGGGCATTTCTTGGACCCTACATCGTACTTGCAGCTTCATACTATGTTCCCTTGTGCCTCTGATGAGTGTGACCTCCAAATGGACCCTCAGTTTCTTTGCATCGTGTGCATGGGAATCCAAATTCGCAATGATTTCCTCGTGCTGGAATAAGCGCGCAAACAAGGTAAATACAAATGCATGTGCATGGCAAAATTACCTTCGCCAACCCAGGGTTAGTTAACCAATACATGATGAGTATAGCGATTGATAAGGAAGGCATGGAAATACTAGAAGTTTGAAGTCGACTGCACTCAAACACACGACAACAATCTCAACTCTTTACGGTCTTTCTTCTTGAGCTACTCCGTGTCGCAGTGGCCGCGCCAGTACCCGTCGTTGAATTTCGCGTGCTTTTCCTAGTTTTGGTCGCCTTCACAGAAGGCGGTGACGGTTCTGGCGACATGGAAAGCACTGATGAAGTCGTGGACAACCTGGACGATCGGCGCGCAGGCGTCTTTTCGTCCTTCACAGGTTTGACTTTGATTGAGGTGCTCGTTCGGGTTTGACGAGCCGTACGTGGCGGCGGCAGGGGAGTGATATCATCTTCGTCCCGGTCTTCATCATCATTGAGTAAAGAGCCAGGTATGGTCTGTGCGAGAGCAGGGCCCTTTATATTATCTTTCCAGGAACTAACGGGTTTGCGTCGAGGACTAGGTGAACGCGCGCGAGGCTGAGGCCGACGGGCACCGCGATGTCGCGGAACAGCGCTTTTGAGAGGGGAACAAGCATCACTTTCGTCCTCATCCTCATCATAAAATGCGCCTGGAGGTGCACGTTTCTTGGGTTCCATCTGCTTAGACGCGGGTGCACGAGTGCGTTGTTCAGGTGAGCTCTTGTTACCAAACACGGAGAAGCCGAGCTCAGGCTCATCATCCATGTCATCCGGCATGCTACTGACGTCGCCATCTTCATGGATGATGAAGGCATTATCGTCGTCAGATTCCATGGTGATGTTGTCTGCCCTGTGAGAATGAGGCCGTGTGGGCACGTCTTCTGTGGGAAGTGCACGGCTCGTTCCAGTCGATACTGGCGGAGGTTTGTAGAATGCATTCGGTGCCTGTTTGGCACTACCAGTTTTCTCAAACAGTGATGTAGTTGGCGCGTTGGATGCGTAGGCAGTCTTTGATAAGGCAGTGCTATGCGCGAATTTGATCCCAGATTGGCCCACGAGGGGTACAGGCGGCGCAGCAACAGGTTTGCGCAATGGAAGCTGACCAAATGGTGATACAGCGGGTGGCTTTTGGGGTGGCGAGGGTAGGAAACTCCCTGAAATGGACCCAGCGAGTGATAGTTTTGGCTCAAACCGACCAGAACTAGAGAAACTGGTATGTCTGTCAGGGATTCGGGGTGTAAGACTGTTCGGTCTACTAGGGGAAGCCCCATTCAAAGAACTTGCGGATGGAATCTCCTCCCATGACATGCTGAGATCACCTAGAGGTGCTCTAGGTTTCGGGGGCGCGGTTTTCGCTGCCTGAGGAGTCGGGGCAGGAGGTAACGTACTTGGCTGGTTAAGCAAACCCTCCGCCATTGTTCTTTCCACATATGTCATATTCCCCAAGATGTCATCCATTATCTTCTTTCTCTCTCGCCCGGCTTTCACACCCTCTGCACCAGCAGACCCTACGGTAGAAAACTGGCGGTCTAGTTGGATGGCTGCCAAATATTCTCCACTTTGGACAAGTCGGACGCAGACAAGGTCTTGCACGATGGCAATAGAAGCGGCTGAGATGTCATGCGGTGGCTTAAGAGCATATGCATGGAGCAGAGACTGTTCCGGAGGGGATAGAGGGAATGCTACGAGCTGTGCCAACGGTCCAGAGCGTGGCTTGGCTTTTAAAAACACAATATTAACAAGGTCACAAGGAACATTGGTCGGTTTACGCACGCGAAAGACACCACTCTAAGAGCTTATTGAGTAGACGCGTACGCGTGTCAGAGGAATCAGGAAAAGTACGTTGAAACTGCCACGCATCCCAAAGACTTGAGTTAGCCAGTGCAAGCGCGTACATATCAATGTCGTCAGGTTCCATGAGCGGAGGCTTGGCGGTCCGAACGTATTTCACGATGAGTGGGGACGGATCCTCGGACAATGAAAGCGCCTGCATAATTTTGGAGGCGTAGTCCCTGTTTAGTCTCGCATCTGAAAGTATTGAAACTGCTTTCTAAACCACTCGTCATAAGGTTCAAAGAAGCTCTGATACCAGATACGACGACATACCTCAACGTGGATGCCAGTGTCCAGATGCCAATATGCATCTGCAAGGGACACAAACTGTGGTGGGATACACCTCTCGTCCGCATAAGTAGCCTCTCGTCCGTCTTGAAACCACTTCAGGAGGATATATACCAGACAATCTTTCTTCAAGCTGTCATAACTCGAGCCATTGATGACATCTAGTAGCCTACGGAGCGAATGTAGGTCTGTAGGCGGATAAAGCATGTCTGGTTGACGAATGCCACCGCGTATGAGCAGAACGTCAAAAATTAGGACATCGGCCATCTGCGCGCGTCGGGATTCTATTTCTGCAGATCTGGTGGTGTTCCAAGGAAATTGATGTGGCGTCCCGAAAAGCAGGAGCCAGTTTTGGACCACATTGTTATCATCCTGAGGAAGTACAAGTCAGTTCAAACGAGGCTACGCATCGCGCTTAAGGATGATACTCACGACGTCCATGCTACTTGTGATGAACACGCCCAACCACTTCATCACGCCTTTCAACAAAGCATTGCTGATGTAATCAATTACGATAAACAGAAAATTAACCCCTGAAATGAGCCTGGCTGCATTTGTGATTTGACACTACAAATACTAGGGTTCGGTGTTGCCGAATCTGACCTTGCTTGCCTGCATGGTCTCGGATTTTTCTCAAGTTGTCATCACCTACTGCAGCTATGATCTCTTTCATTGTTAATTTATCCAGGGCAGAATTGAGCTGTTGCAACATGGTTCAAAAACTGTAAACTGCATCTTAATGTCATGACATACAGCCACATTCAACATTTATTGATATTTATTATTGTTTATTATTGGCAGTTAGTCTGTCAGATTTTGTCAGATGGCATATGACCTTGCAAGCAAGGTGACTGTATCATTTCGACCTTAGGTTCGTGGGAATTTTGGCACTGCATTACCTAATGGTTCTGTGACAGGTTCGTCTCTCAAGGACAGCTGTGACAAACTTACAATAGGTTCATAGGTTCATAAGGTTCATATTCAGTAGGATAATATATGTAAGAAGATTGTATCCTTCAACCATATGAGAGCTGTTGCAGCGTATGGCTGGGCTTTGCGACCAAAATTGATTACGAGCGATGGTGGAGAAAACTTTTTCATGGCGTTTCTCGGCCTTGTCGAAACAGAAACATGAACCCACGCGGCAGAGGAAGATCATATAGTGTACGAGAACCTGTCCTGGAAATGAGTATCAGCGTCTAATGAGCCAGATAAGTAGTAAACATACCACGCATTATGAAGTCTGACAAACCCACGTAGATACAGTCCGTGCACGATAAGTGATGATTTAATGGTGGGGAGGAGCGCATGTGTATAAAACCACCCGTGGTCTTGTCTATTTTCTGGAAGAGTCTCAAGGAATGGGATGAGACCCAGCAGAATTCTGGGATGGTCTTTCTGGATGGGGAACTTGACGTCGAGGGCAGTAAATCATATCCGCAACCGGGCTTGGTAGAGCGTGCGCTGAAGGCTGGATGGAGGACAGTGAAGAGAACGCGCCAGTCCCAAAAGAACAGAGCGCTCATGGATGAGCCGTGTGACCAAACAACCCGTTGAATAACATAGCACTAAAAAAAACATAAAAGAGAAATGTACCGAATCTCTCCATTGCAACTATGGGGCTTGCAAGACCACGGTCAGGTCTATGAAGAGCAAACCGCGCACAGTCAGCGCACCTTATGAGGCCTGAGAAGCTAGGAAGAGATCCGAAACATAAAGTCAACACCAACGATCCCTCCGTCGCAACTACAGGGCTTGCAAGACCATGGTCAGGTCTATAGAAAGCAAACCATGCACGGTCAGCGCACATTTTCAGCCTGAGAAGCTAGGACGGGATCGCAGAGTGAGAAAAGGACTCAACACACTGACATCTTATATATTTTTGCCAACCGTTCGATCCGCTCAGCGCGGCAGTAGTTTTAGAAAAGAAGGTAGAATTAACGCGGTAAATGGCATTTTTCGCCCCAGGACGAAAAATGATGGCATGGAACGTAAGCATGATGACAGGAAATTGTACGCAGGAAATGCCGTTTTTACGATTGTGTATGATTCACAGAATTAAAGGGTAGGCATATGACCTTGCAAGCAAGGTGATTTAGGAAAAAAAAGATCAATATCATGGGCTTGATAAAATTTAAGACGGAGCAAGGTCACAAGTTCGCACCGCAAACCCCTAGTATCAAAGCTATATTACTAAAAATGTATATCACAATTGCAGATCACATGACAAAGGAATAAAAAGTTAGACTAAGATGGTGATTTCTCCCAACCCTATAATATTGACAGACCCATGATATCTACTTGTGATATACTAGCATACTGTTGTGTTACATATTGTCAAGTGTGTCTATTCATATATAGGCAGCCTCTTACTGCAGGGTCCATAATTACTGACTATATGCCAGGGTCAGATATTATATTATAAGCTATAGCACAATGCTGGTCTTCCACAAAAGACACCTAGCTTTAAATAGTTAGCTTAGGATGGGAGGATCTGCAATCACCAGCTCTGTGTCAGGGCCAGATATGATATTGTAAGCTACAGCACAATACTGGTCTTTCACAAAAGATGTCTGGCTTTAAATAGTTAGCTTCCAATGGGAGGATCTACAATCACCGGCTATGTGTCAGGGTCAGATATGATATTGTAAGCTACAGCACAATGCTGGTTTTCCACAAAGGGTGTCTAGCTTTAAATAGTTAGCTTCCAATGGGAGGATCTGCAATCACTGACTGTGTGTCAGGTTATGACATTTAGCTGAAATACCACAACATGATGCTAAGCTTTGAGCAAACAGGTCTATGATTATATAGCTAGCTTCTGATGGAAGGATATGCAATTGCTGGCGGTGTGCTATGGTATAATAATACATTGTAAGCTATAGCATGTGTTACGACTTGGATAGGTCGAGCCTCCCGATGCCGAATGGCAGGTCTCTAAGCATTCATGCGAAGATGGAGGGATGATGTTCTGGCCTTGAATGGAGCCTAAGGGATCCTCTGACAAGCTTGTTAAGTGCAGCGGCTCATCAAGCTGTAGGGCTAACGGATATACGGCTAAGGTAGTGTTGGCTAGCCTTAGAAGTGCGGTCAAGACAGAGGGATTTAGGAGTCACTCTGAGAGGATGTTCTGAGGTATAACCAAGTAGATCAAAGTAAAGAATACAATGATATCTGTCTAAGCTATATAGGCATATGCTATAAGGTTCAGTAGGAGCCTGTATCATGAATCTATCTGAGTCAGAGATAAGACGAGGTGAGGCAAGCCTTGCTTATCTGATAAGGTGCATGAGGCGCCTCTTCTATCAAGATACGTACATGAGGTGCTCTGGCCTAAAGGTCCATCAACACATGGTGCAACATGCGTTGGTCTAGTTCTACATGAGGTGTACAGCCATCATGATGGGATTGGGAGGCCTTTCTAGGCCATAGTGAAGTCATAGCAGTTCCGGACTGCTGTCAGTCAGGACCTAGGCAAGGTCCAGCAATGTTATTGTAACATTACCCCATTACTACGGTTGAAGTCACCGGCTTCAACAATCTTCGTTCTTCTCCTCTCCAAGAGTGGAGGGTGCGGGTGTCATGGTGCAGGAGTGAGGGGTCGGTGAACGTGGTAGTGGGTTCTGAGCAATGAGTGCTTCAAGGACGATGTGGTTCTTCTCCCAGTCTATGAGAGTCTCAAAGAACTTCTCGTCATCAATAAACTCTTGGAGTTGGATCTCTCCGTTGAGTCGAGGGCAATGGACCGATAGGTGGTCCGGTCCAAGTTCACTACAGACACAGCAAACATAATCTGGACATTTTCTGAAGGTGTGTCCATATCCTCCGCATCGAAGGCAGATGCAGGTGTGGTCAACCGTGGCTTTCTTTCTCTTAAGTGTGCGCACAGGTCTATCGATCTTTTCTCCTACTCTCTTGGTGGCGAGCGCAATGGTATCGGTGAAGTTGTCTGGGAGTAGGTGAAGTGCCATAGCGCGAATTGTCTTCTGGAGTTGCAGCACCGCTAGTGCTCTGCTTGCTGCATCCGGGTCTTCACGACTTACTACATTCTAAAGTAGTTTCGTGGTGCGGATGATGTTAACCACAAGCGACGTGGTGGCGGTGGTTCTAACATCAGTATTTCCGAGGATGGTGTCGATCTCAAGGAAATGGTCAGGGGAGAGTATGGCGGTTTCAGCGAGTGCGCCTTTCTCTAGGTGGTCAAGGATCTTGGGGTAACCCAAGTCCTTTAGGGATACAATGGCGGAATTTTTGTCAAAGGAGGTCGTCATGATGATGGGAGTTTCTGAGGAGAGGTGGTCATAGGAGGGTGTCTTATATGTTCCTCTGGATATCTCCAAGCTCCATTTGACTTATCTTTTGTTTGGTATCTTCTTTTGCCAAGGTTCAACCTTATCAAGGCATGTGTGGCCTCGTGTCTGGGCAAAGGGGATAGTCACCATGCCAGTTCATTCTTCCAGAATATCTTGTTTTAGAGTTCAAGATCTGGGGTGGGTGCATTCCTCAGATGTCTTTTGTTTTAACATTAGACTCTGGGTCGGTGTTCTAGAGGGTTCCACAGGCTTATGTCAGTTAAGAGGAGTTTCTGTAGAGTTCATCTCATGATAGTTTCAAGTCGTTCTGGACAGTCAGGGGGAAGGTAAGGAATCCGGGCTTATGTTGGTTAGGAGGAGTTTCCAGGGTTCAGTCCTCGTCTTCGTCGGCTTCTTTATCTTTTTGTTGAATATATCAGATGTCGAAGTACTGTTTCCAAGTGTAGGTGCTGAGAGGGTGCTCAGGGTTGTCTAGCAGGCCTGAGACTAAAATTTCGTTAGCGAATATACATGTAAGGAGGAAGATGCACATACTATGCAAGACAATTGGCAATGGCTTGTCCAAACTTTGGCTGGTTCCCTTCTACAGCATACTGGGTCCCATATGTTGGGTCATTTTCGAATACATGTCTGGCAATTACAAGGTAGATATCAGCTTTACTCGCCTGAAGGACGATCAGTGCTGATCACTGAGCTGTGATTTTTTTTTTGTTATTGGAGAAAAGTACGTGACAGTTGGCTGGATGTGTGGCGAGCCAGGATACGAGGATTGTAGTGCTGTCAAAATCGGTGGTGTCCCACCTGATCTTGGCAGGGACAAAGCTGGTGTCGTTCTCATGGGTTATAGGCCAATCTTCAGGGCCTGTGATGTTGTTGTTGTCCAGATTGGTTGCAGATTGATGTTGGGGGGGATCTGGATGGTCGGTACCTCCTCATCCTCATCCCCTCCCACGAGTCACAGTAGCACCCCTCACTCTCCCCCTAGCCCTAGCCCTCTCCCTGCTACACGAAGATTCCAAAGGTTGTGGTGGTTGTGGCAGCAGTGGCAGTGGTGGTGGTGGTAGTTCACTCATATTTAGACCAGCAGATATTTTGGAAAGCTGCTTGAGGCGTGCTGAATGCCTTACAGTGGGTGAACATATTGGGGGCATCATGCGTGTGCAGCATAAAGTTTCAATTTCAGACTCCGATACCTGCTGCTGGAGTTCCGAAAATTTTCCATGTTTGTTGATGCTTTCAAAAAAGTTTCAAGGAAGTTTCAAAATCAGCTTTGAATCCCATTAATAAAGCATCAATTAGTCTTGACCTTTGATTCTACCTGTTTTGTGCTAAGGGGGTTGATCATTGTAATTCTGCACCATTCTTTTTGGATCATAGTTGGTACAAGGCACTGTTGTTGAAGGGAAACTTGAGCAATAGTCCTATATATATTCTTTTGGTCATTGCCATACTGTCGGGCTGACCATTGTTTTTTTGTTTTTTTTTTCTGTCAAGTCCATAGATTAAATTGACCATCATATTTACTGATTTTGCAGAAGTACCTTTAGCTGAACATACTTTGGGAAGTATACAATAAGCCACCCATGAACAACCACATTATCAGTCATTGGTATTTATCTGAATCACTGACCATGGAGATATTTGTATTTATAGGTGTTTATCTATAGATAATCTATCTAAGAAGACATCATGCCCTGAGACGTTGTAAAGATACAACAATGCTTGATACTATATGAAGTAAGTGTCAGCAATATAAAAATGTTGTAGTGGTCTTGCACAGCCTAGTCTGCTATACTTGCTAGACAAGTGTGTTCGACCTGAGGGGTTTGCTATTGGAATAAGTCTATAGTTAGTCATTTGATAAATTGTCAAAAGTCTGAGCACGAAAAACAGAATCTGAAGGTATAATTATGAGTCCGATGCCAAAGCATCGGCTGATGTTTTTGGGTTTAGCAGGTCAGCGGGTTTCGGGTGTGGGTTTGTCGGGTTTGTCGGGTTTGTCGGGTTTGTCGGGTTTGCGTCGGGTTTGTGAAATGATTGTCGGGTATAGCAAGCAATATGTGGAATATTGATAAGGACAGGTGTTTCGGATAGAAAGTGCGGTAATATTCACAATGTCAACTAAGAACTACGAAATATTGGGTTTGACCACAAAGCGTCAGGAAACGGCTCCCTACTACTTGGATGATGAATATGCTATGTGGAAACCAATATATATATAAGTATGTAGAAATCCGGAACCCTATAGGCGAAAGTAGTGGCCGAAGAATGTCGGGTCCAATGTAGAGACTCATGCATCTCATGGTCTGAAATGACAGTTTTCACTAGGGAGTACATATGTAGCATGAACTTGTAGCATCACTCTGTGCGCTTTTTTTTCTTTTTTTTTTGAATCCAATTTATGTCCTTTGCAGAGTTGTACTCTATGTAGGACACTACTTTCTAATCTAAGGGACCCCCAGTGTCCCTATTTGTGTCCCCGAGTGCGTAAATGCCCTGACGTAGGGTGTACCCCCGTCAGTCCGCCATTCCCACCGGCCGTTTTAGATGTGCCACTCTGGTGGGGGGAGATTTATAGATGCTCTTCGTGCTAATGTACTATCATGACATAATCTAAACACATACTCGGTCGTGCGAGGTGATCTAGTACAGGAGTCAGGTGGGCATTTGTATAGGGATTTGGTTAGTCTTGGGGCTGATCTGACTGTCCTGGGTCCGTATGTCTTGTGCTGCTGTGAACACTTGATTCCGTGTAGGCGAGTGGGTGAGTGAGCTGAGAGTGTTGTACAGGGTGTTTGTACATGATGGTGAGAGACGCGTTGATGTTTACAGGTTGGATCTACAAATATGTGCTGTATCAGGCTGTTGGCTCGCGAGGTAACGGGATCACACCTATCGTGTTTTTGAATCTTCCAGTGGTGTTGATGTAGCGCACTAGATGCGGTGTTGCGGCTGGGTCTGAGAGGAGGAATGAGATAGAGGTGGCTTCGCGGCCTAAGGCTGTGATCATTGCGTGACGTTCATGGCGATATTGGGGGCAGTCTAGGAGGAGGTGGGGGATGGTTTTGTCGGTTCCCAGGCAGTGGGGGCAGTGAGGTGAGCGTTCCTTTCCTATGCGATGCAGGTACTTATGAAGGGGGATATGTTGCGTGCGTAGTGCTATGTACAGGCTGGTGAGTCGTTTAGGGAAGGTTGACGTTAACTTAATGAAAGCGCGTTGCAGGATCTTGGTGTCAATATGGTTGATGTATTCATATCTGGGCGATTTGTGCCAAAGTCTCACCCAGCGGGCGTGAGTGGCTTTGTGATGGGCTTCCTTAAGTGCTGATATGCTGAGTGGGAGTGTGCCATATCTTAGATATTCTGGGAGGGATTCCTGTGGGCTGTTGTTGCAGTGTCCTTCTGCGGCCTTCTTCGTGCATTTGTCTACTTCCTCATTGCCATGAATGTCCGCATGGCCTGGTATCCAGTGGAGGGTGATGTCAAAACCTTCATGTGTCTTTGCTAAATGGTTCAGTCTGTTACAGAAGCGGTCAATCAAATATGAGCCTGGTTTCAAGTAGAAGTTCTCACCAGATTGGATTACCACTTGGTTGTCCATGAAGATTGAGATGGGGAAGGAGATGTTTTCTTCGGTAGCTATGAGTTCTGCTGCAAGTGTTAGTCCAACTGCTTCTGCCTCGAACACAGTATGTTCGTCTTTGATACCTATATGAAATAGAAGTTTACGTGGGCAATGGCCAGCTCTGAACAAAATGGCTGCTGCACCTATCTTATCATCGTGTCCTGACCTGTCCATGTATACTTGGATACTGTCGTTGTTTGCTGCATGGTCTTCTATTGCTTGAGTCTTGGAGGAGGCAATCCATACCTTGTGCTTGTTGGAGGAGGTTGGGGATTTGCGATCGGGGATTAGGGTCTCAATTTCTTGTGGATCGATGCGGAATTGGCATGTGAGGCGGTGAAGCAATGAGCGGTGCGATTGCACGTAATGTTTGGCTGCTCAGCGGATTGGGATATACAGAGGATTGGAGTTGGGGTGAGTGGCTATACGTACAATTGCTCTGTGGCATATGTTCTGTAGGAGAAGGGATATAGGGAGTAAGTTAGCATGCACTTCTAATACATCAGTGGCTGTAGTCCGTAAGGCTCCGGTTATTGTGATTGCTGCAATGCATTGAACGCGAGAGAGTTTTCTTGCTACCTTGATTGATCCGCGTTGCAGTTGATCCATGCCATTGCGATACGTTGGTGTGATCCATAGGTCCGCCGCGTAGAGCATCTTGGGTATGGTGACTGCCATGTAGAGTTGGCGCATGAGTCATAGGGGAAGGCCTTTGGCTGTTGAGGACAGCCTGCGTAGCTGAAATACGTAGGTTGTCCCCTTGGCTACCGCATGGTCGATCTGTGCGTTCCCACGTAACTCTTGGTCTATGATTACCCCAAGGAATCTGTGGGTGGGAGTCGGACAAATAGTTATGCCTCGGATGTGTAGGTCAGGACATGTGCGCTGATGGTTCATCGAAAAGTCTATTAAAGCAAATTTATTAGTTTCGAAATTAGAGTTGTGAGTATGGGACCAGTCATATCCTCCCCCCGGCCGTTCGAGCATATCCGCTAACATTTGGTGAGTGTCTTGAAATGAGTTACCGATGGCAATGAATGCCATATCATCCACAAATGCCAGAGTGAGCTCTTTGAGCATTTCGCGACTGTTTCGTTCCTTCACTGCTTCAACTAAGTCAGAGCTGTAGATAATATAAAGGATCATAGAGAGAGGATCCCCCTGGCCTATGCCGTTATTGATGGGGATCCAGTCTGAGGTGAACCCGTCAAATCGTAACTGAGTCTGTCGTTGAGTTAGTAAGTGTTCCGTGAATTCAACTACTTCTCTTGGTATGCATTGCATACGCATATTGTGAATTAGTCTACTGGTGACCGCGTTGGGAAACACTCCC